CACTGTGGATGGCAGATTAAGAATTGAAGAAACTACATAGTTGTTTTGCAGAGTTTGTCCTAGTATGGTTAGGTCTGTTATTGTACTTAACATTTAAATATATAACCCCATGCTATTTGTTGTATGGAAATTACAACGCTCCAACACTAAACCTGTAACTTATAAGTTAGAGTAATGTTTTGTACTTGAATAATAATTTTACTTCTCACTAAAATACTCAAGGTCCAACAAATGCAGGGAAGCAGTCATAGAGGGAGTAGTAGCAGACCGTACCATTGTCTGAAGGGAGCTCACATATTGAAAACAAGTGCAGCTTTTTAGGAATGTGAAGAGAAACCTAAACCACAAACCAAAGTACTGTAGGGGAGAAAATCTCAGCAGAAGACAGAGTGTTAATAGTACAAAATAAATCCTATTTCCCCCTTACTTCATCTTCATATGTCCCTCAAATGGCTTTGTTATAAACTGATTTTGGAGGTCTTCTTACACTCTACTTTATCTTTAACTATGTTTTAATCTTTGGTTTTCCTGGATTGTAAAGTTGTTGAGGTAAGAATTTCCCCTTGGGGACAATAAAGTCTAAAGTCTAAACAGACTGGGCACATGATCCAGAAAACATAGTTTGACTCATCTTACTCACCTCTTGTGTCGCCTGGGTTCTTATCATGGTTCTTGTGATCGTCGGGTTATATATGTCTGTTGGGTATCGTGCACTTTGGGTTCTTTTCTGTTGAATTGTATTTAATTATTCTTCGTATTTTGCATTTGTTTGTTCTTGCTGTTGTTTATGTTCTTCTGTGTTTGCTTTAGTTTGTTCTCCTTTTTGCTGTTTGTCAAAGCACTTTGTAAACCTGTGTTTTTAAAAGGTGCTATATAAATAAAGTTATTATTATTATTATTATTACTGTCGAGCTGTCAGAACTGAAAAGAGGTTCGATATTAAGCTCAGTGCAAAATGAAAAAAAATAAATGACAAAACAACGCATCACGGCACAAAAGCGAGAAGTATCTACAAGTGTATAGGCTTACAGAAAACAGCACAATGTTCACCCTTGGACAGTTCATTGTTCAGCATCATCTGCAACATAGCTCCCTCTGGGAAAAATAATCAACCAGTTATGCTCTCCCAACAGAACAATCTGGAACAAACAGACCAGCACGCTCTGTTCTAACATAGGAACATGTTTAGAAGCATGTTTTGCCCAATTTTTCAATAACACAAAATGAGCCATTTTAAATGCCTGTCTTTTCAAGGTTTTGGGACCAATCAGGAAACAGGTGTGTTTCAAACTATAAACAAAATAACTCATCAAGTGTTTTTAATCCAGTAAAAATCTGAACTTCTATTGTTTCTGATTAACGCGTGCTGTGAAACTCATAATCCTTTCCATTTGTAGTTGTAATGTTCCTCCAAACAAACATTCCTAAGTAAAGGTACAAGTCGATCATTTCCACTCTGTGCGTGGGAATGTGCTATTGCTCTCATTACGCACACATCCAAGCGTACCCACTGTTCATAAATTAGGACCCACGCTTTAATTGTCAGGTTGATGAGCTGAGTGGAAACAGGTGTCCCTCATCTGCTGCTGTGGGAGAAGCCCTGCTACACACTAACCTGCAAGAGAAAGAGAACAAGAGGGGGAAGGGGGAGAAGGAGAGAGAACAAACACAAAAAAAAGCTACAACAAAGCCAATACAGAATCATCACACATGTTGTTTTTCATAATATGAATAGATAAGATACAATTAGAACGGATTACTTTTTGAATATTATTTTCAAACACACTCTACTGTGACTATTTTAATCAACACTTCTTCTCCAGATTAGTTTGAACGTGCATTGCTTTATGTTTTTGCAGGAGGTAAAAGCTTACCCCCCCCCTCACTCTGATGCCTTTGTTGCAATAGCAGAACAAACAAAAACATTTGACATCTTTTCAAACCAATGTATCATGTATCGTGTTATCTCCCCTGCTGAAAAAAAACACACTCTTGATTGGAGTCTATTATTTGCAGGCAGCATATGATAAGCTGGTGATAATTTATTGAAAACTAGAATTGTTGTGGCCATCTTAGCAATTGAAGTATACAGGTGTTGATATCATACAGCAAATGCAGCAAATGCAAACTCTACACCTTCATCACATCTCAATAAGCTGATCATGTTTTGGTTTGTGAGGAAAAAAGGACCCTAGTTTTCCTGCAACTCATTTTATTTTTAATTTCAATTTCAGTACATTTATTGGCTGTCTTATTTTGTTTTGTTTTAAAAAAAAAAAAAGCTGAAATAATCAAATACAAAAGGCAGATCCAACCGTCTCTTGTGGGAATTCTCTCCTGTCAGCAAGACAGGGTTTTCTCATGAATGTATGTAGATGACTTCAACTTCACATCAGCTTTGTGTTTGCAGCATCTTACATGTTTTGATGTCGTGCAGAGTGTGATGTGAATTTCAATAAGATGTGTACAAAGACTTGCCTGTCAGGGAGAGAAAGATCATCAGTGACAGAGAAATGATTTATGCCTGTCACAGACCATTCTTTTTAAAGTCAGCTCTTGAATCACACACATGCACAAACACACACACACACACACACACACACACACACACACACACACACACACACACACACACACACACACACACACACACACACACACACACACATGCACATCTGTTCTCCCAGAGTGACCGGACATGAAGACAGTGATTACATTATAACCCCCCAAGGTTATCAGTGGCCACAGGGCTGAATTGCTGATTTTAGCCTTCCATAAACAATGAATGTGAAGAATATGCACACAACATGGTTGAATTTGCATATTGAGCAAAACTTAAACTTTGTAGAAAACTCACAAATAGTCACGACTGCCTTGTTTAACCTGAAGTCCCAATTGAATGAAAAATGTATTTCCCTAGTTTTAATCCAGCCTTCTCGTGTTAAATGTTAATAAATATCAATAAAGCTTTATCTGAATATTTTTCCACCATTTAAAAAGCTTTGTGGAAGCTAACAAGCCAATCAAATCATCCCAACCTTTTTTTTTTTTCTTTTTTTTTACTTCTCCATTGCTTGGTGATTCTGCAGCAGGTAAAAACATTCTCTCTCTAACCTCCCACTCTCCACTGTTACTCATGTTGTTTTTTCCTTAAAGCTAAATACATTTTTTGTTCTCCCTGATTTTTTTTTTCTATTTCTGCACTAGCACTGCCACTCAGCTAAAAATATTTGATTGTTGCTTATTAATGTTACACATTGAACCTGCCCCTCGTTGTTTGCAGGTAGTGGGTAGCATTGAGGTTGACTGAGGTGTACAGAAATCCCTTCAGGGAGAAGGTGAAGTACAGGAGCCACATCATAGGACTTGTGTTCCAAAAAAATGTGAATGCACAAAATGGATCTGTAAGTCACAGTAAGATATTCTATAAAATGAAATGATGCAAAATTCCAAAGGAAGTTAAGCTTCATTCCCCCAGATTGTTTAAGACAAAATGGAAATGGTGTCTTGCCATGATATTTTACTACAACTACAATGAAAACAAAATAGTTTATTTTTTCAGCTATGAAATTATCAAGGATAATCTACTTGAACATTGTGACAGGGATCTGGAGCTGTCATAAGAGATGTTTTAAGAGACACACAGGTGTGTTACACAGAAGTCTTTTTCATGCTTGTGTATGTGGTAGGATGTGTGAAAAATAACACTGCAGGACTTGACATCTTTTCTCTTAAAACCTACAAATGTTATAAAGTTACGATTTCATTTAATAGATGATTCTTTCCACTTAGGGGATCTACATCTGATACGATGTTACAATTTCATTTAGCAAACGTGTTTGTCCTAAGCATATGGACAAAATATGGACTCTACTTTTTATATTTCTTTCTGACAAGACTTCAAGTGTTGGCCTCCTGAAAGTAGCCTTAGGTATGTTTGTTGGACAGCACTACCAAGACAGGGCTTCAGGTTGGAAATATATCACAGACATACAGTATTGTCAGTTCTGTGATTTAGTATGCTATTTGTTTGACTTGTTTCATATTCTGTTGACTTATGAGCCACTGCATGACGCTTGCTCTGGATACTGTTATATTAACCTCGACTTACGGTAATAATTTCTTCTCTACCTTCAGCTGCCAATAGATAAGGGATGTCTATCTTAAACTAATGAAATAATACAACTGTCTGAACAAAATCTTACCTAAATAATGTTAAAATTGTGGTTTAAGTTAAACCTATTTTAGGTTTGTGAAATAGTCTGAACCTAGATTTGATGAAATTACAAAATTGCATATTAACACCAGAAATATGACGATTATATCTGACAGCAGAATGACATCAAACATCAAGCGATGTATGAGCAAAGACTTTGCAATATGAAGTACAAAAGGCATAGGCTGTACCTCACCTGTGCTTGCACGGAGGATTTCAAAACTTCCCGGGGGTTTGGTGTGGGAGTGAGGCACAGCAAGGGGCATGTCAGTAATCATCAAACATCACAAAGCACCTTTTTTTTTTCCAAATCCGCTCATCCTCTATAACCGGATTTGACATTGCACCACCTGCGTGCTTATGCCCAGCCAGTGGCACAAATCACTGTTCTGCTATTTCATCTTTTGTGCCACCACAGTTGGTGCAGGTACATCCTACGATCCAGGTTCATTCTTTTGAGTTTAATCAGTCGAACACAAGACCACAGCCAATTTCCAGATGGAGCAACTGCAGTAGGTGAAGAACAAGCCTATACAGTATTACTACAATCCTTTGTCTGATCAATTGTATTTCAGGAAAAGTTGATGATAATAATGTCAATCATTATCCCAAGACCAATCTTAAATTACTATGACATTCTTTCAAGTGTTGATGGATTTTTTTTTTTCTTTCCCAGTTATTGTAATTCACAATCAATGCTTTCTAGGCCTGCTCTGTTTTGTCTATGTTCATTTCTCACACAACTATACTATACTACACTTCCTTGACTCTGTGATTTCATCAGACTGGGACGACCTGGGGTGGATTGCTACTGTCAACATGACAGTGGAGCAGCTGTTCTTCAGCTACAGTTCCTCATCAATGAGGTAAGCCTGATGTTTACACTGCTTATGTAAAGCTTCCTTGTCACAATATAGAGATCTGAAGTCCACATTACATCCAGTGATCAACAACCAGTAACCAGTAATGCGTCCAATCCTTGAATGCAAATGTATTCTCGGTGTGGGCCCCAATGTTCCTTTTAAGATAAAAATATAATTAGAAACACTGGATGGAGTGGGGTTTTAAGCCCACAGGCTCCTGATATTTCTCGGTCCCTAAATGGTATGTGTTAGACGAGATAAGGTAGCGAGGCCCAAGAATGGTGTTTTTTTTTAAATATGCATGTGTGTGTAAGTGTGTGTGTCTGTGCCATATAGCCACACTTTTGTTTGTGTATTTGATTATACCTTTGAAACAATTTTTATTTCCTTAACATTTAATGCATTTTCATGTATTTTTTAACTTTAAAGTCCACATGGAATGAAAAATAAATTTTCCTGGTTTTAATCCAGCAATTCTGATAGCATATTTCAATAAAGCATTATCTTACTATTATTTGAAGCTGATTGTTTCTATCCCGTTTGAGTTGGAAATGTGCTAAAACCAGGATAGGATTGGATACTCTCGAAGTTCAGATTCATGGGGAATTCATTATCATCTGGACGAAAGCTCATTTAATATTGTCTTCAAAATATTTTTTTTCTCGTAATTTTCTGAGGAGAATCAAAAAGAATTGAGTCAGTGTCAGTGGATGGTACACAAGGGCTAATTAATGTGTTTGTTTGCCTATCCTGAGTTCATTATTTTTCCTCAATGAATAATACATCTGAGGCTGTGCGTGGGGGGTTGGGGGGCAGGTGGTTAACTTTGTGTTAGATGAGGTTGGATTGGGAGGGGTGACTGCAAAGGTAAGAAGGATTGTTTTTTTCTGTATACTCAAAGGTGGATTATAGCATCCACAGGAGCTTTATAAGGATGTTTATTTCAAAACAAGACACATAGTATTTACCTTATTGTATTCACGAAAATAATCACAGCTATTCTGAACTTCAGTACATCTGCACCTAACATGTGATATTACTATTATACATCAGTTACAAGAGAAGTAACATCAACAAGAAGTAATTATTTTCTCTACCAGATCGCCTCTTTCCATAACTAGATTTGACTGTGTCCAAACACCCTATACATTCTTACTAGTAGAGTAAGTAAAGTCTGTCTTTCAACTAGAAGGTCGGGGGTTCAATACCCAGTTCCTGCAGTCAAATGTCGAAGTGTCCTTGGCCAACTGAACCCAAAATTGCTCCTGCTGCTGCATGGGCAGCACATTAACATGTATGAATAGATTGGTTAATACTGACGGACAATTTACATTGCAGCCTCTGCCATCAGTGTGTGCATGTGGTGTGAATGGATAAGTGAGACCTGCGGTGTAGAAAAGTGTTATATCGTGTCAATTTGACTTTGTTTATGTCTACAGGTTACCACACACCAGCTACTTTGAATTACGTCCATTTGTTTATAATTTTTAATTTAAAATGCTGAAATGTATCAATGCCATGTAATCAATGTTCAGAACACCTGGCTGAGGTGGAGTGAAATGAAAGTGATAATGAAAAATTGACCTCAGATGGAAGAACATGTGACAGAAAAAAGGACAAAACTAAAACAAACCTTTTTTTTAAAAAAAAAAAAGGACATCATAGACTATTTGCAACATTTTCCAGGCCCGAAAGAGAGGGTCTCCTCTTTCTGCTCTCAACCCCCCAGTTGAGAATCACTCCTCTAGAACTTTTCATTCCTCCTTACTAGTATCTAGATGATTTTTTGTCACAACATCATATAAATAATACGCATTAGGGTTATCATTAACAGTTCTCTGAAAAGAGGAAAATTGCCCTTATTAATAGAGAGCATTACTTTTTTGTCACCTCCATAGAATGACACATTTCTATTAAGAAATAACTAAATCAATTTGAGAAGTACCCCTTCTAATGAGTTATTTTCAGCTTTAAGTCATACTTCCTGTTGTGCCACAGGTAGATAGGACAAAGAGAAGCAGCAGCAGAAGGACAGATGGAATAGATGTTTCCACACCAAGGCAGGGGCACATCATTACCCTTTGACATGACCACAAATGGCTTGCGGTGGATTACTTAATTAGCTCACTGAGCTGATGAACCAGCATGAGGCTAATTATCTTAACTATGGCTTTGTTCCTTAGATGAAAATGGTCACGTTTTTTCCAAGTGCTTTATAAAACTCGTTCTTTGAAACATAAAGTATGAGATGTTTAGTCAGGTAGCTACTGCTCAACAAATAAACCAAAAGTACACGCTTTTTTGTAATTAAAGAAGAAAAAGAAATGTAAGCTTATCCATGCCACAGTTTTTGAATAAAACATAAATGTCCCTCCAGATATTTTCTAAATGTTTTCATGTGCAATTTCCTCTAGGCCCTTTTGACTGTCGTTTTACCCGAGCTGTATAATGTGATTGCTTCAGGTCCCCTTGCCTTTGTTGCCTTCAAGACATCAAGATAATTATACCATAATAGAGGTGTTGACCTGACTCTCACCCTGTCTGTGTCTCACTTTTTTTTCTTTGCGTCTGGTTTGATTTCTTCATTAGCTGCTGCTTCACCTTCTTTCACTCTTTTGGATGATAGAAAGAAACTCTACGTGTATAGAAATGAATCTTCTTCTTTCTTTGAGAATTGTATATCACATAATGTTAATAACAGATATGACAGATTATTGTGCAAGCAAGAGATGACATGTAATACCAGTAATTATTTGCTGTATTATTGATATTATAATTATGAACTGACAATATGATGAACTATGAAATAACTTTCAGTGTGGAAAATATATCTCTTCTTCTGCACCTCACAGGCTGGGGAAAAATTCACCACTTTAGTTGGCTTAGAAAATCAGACCTCTGTGCATTCATGTTTGTTTTAAAGGGATCATGAGGATATCTCTCAGATGCATATCTGCACTTATATCCTGAACAAAAGAGTAAACAGGAAATCCTGTTTGAAAAGAAGGTCATCCCAACAGTCAATGGCAATGCAGAGGCAATTTTTTTATAACTCGAGTGATTTCAGATCAAGATCGCAAGTAACTGTTTGAACAATTATGACATGGTTGTATGTTCCATTTTGTTTCATTTGAGTAATTTGATCTTGTACTTGTAACAGTTTGCTTGAATTAAGTGTGTCTTTGATGCCTTACAGCTGGAATCTCCTGATAACTTTGGGCTCACAGTCTAATCAATCATGACTGTGGGTCTTGTGTTAAACCTAAAAGGCAAGGTGTTCTTTGTATCTGTGAGTTTAGTACTGACATTTATTTTTTGTCTGTAGGGGGCACTGGTCACGGCCTGCGCAGATGACACACTCCATTTGTGGAATCTCCGTCAGAGACGGCCAGCTATTCTTCATTCGCTCAAATTCAACAGAGAGAGGTAAGAATAAATGTCACTAGTTAAAACACACACAATTCACACTTATCTGCACTGTTGTATGTTTTGTTTTGCACATAAGATCTTTCAATACAAGTAAAATCCACAATTGTGTATTCAACTTCAAGTTGAAGTGCTTTGAGATAAAAAAAATAAAAAAAACAGACCTGTTTACAGCCTCTAATGGCAAGGGGAGGGGATGATATATGTTTTACAAATATAAAACTCAGTGAGTTTTTTCTGAAAGCACTGATTCCACTATCCAGTGTCCTACATGAAAAAGACCCCCCCTTGCACCAAGTCCCAAACCATCCAGCATTTGGCTGCTGGTCAATCTCTCAGCTGCAATGTCAGCAGTGGTCAGAGTTCTCCCACCATGAATTTTTACAAAATCAATTAAATCTGGCAGAAAGTTAAGCTGCCCTGTCCTTCTTCTGCCTTTGACCTTGTTACACACCTTCTAATTAACCTGAAAAGGAGGATCGGCTGCCAGGAAGCTCTCTCTTCTCCCTCATCGTATAAACCCTTCTGCCTTGCGTGACACCATTCACAATTACCATTACAGAGACATGAGTTTGCAGATATTATTCAGCAGCTGAAACTGTCTCCATTGACCTGTTGCCATCTTAACTTATGTGAGATATAAGGTTTAACATGGTCTCTAAAAAGGTGTTGGAGAGGTTTAACAAGAGTTTGCCAATGCTACCCAATATGCCTGGTCAGAAAGGTAAATGGACTTCAGCTTGTATAGCGCTTTGCTAGTCTTCTGACTACTCAAAGCACTTTGAAACCGCACGTCAAACCTACCCATTCACACCCTGATGGCGGAGGCTGTTATGGAAAGTGACCATCAGAATTAACAAATGCCATTTATACTGCACAATGACACATCGGACATGTTGCTGTAGGAGCTTGGGATTGAACCCCGACCTTCCAGTTGAGAGACGACCAACTGGGCTTAGTCACCCCTGGTCAAAAGAGTTTAGTATAATACTTATCATTACAGCTCATATGGTACCAGGAGCCATGTCATTGTTCACTTTATTTTTGGGTTTTGGCAGATGTGCCCGAGTTTGCCTGAGTTTATCAACAGAAAAATTATAAATAGACTGCACTTTCTGCCTCTCTGGTCTTCTGAGCAATCAATCAAGCACTCCACATGTCACCACAACACCACAATTGATTGCGGAGGGTCATCATGTTCTCATTCTCATAGTCGATAAAAGACACTCAAAGACAGTGGTGTAGTAGTTAGTCAGAAAAATCTCTCTTTGAACCCCCTCACTCTGTCACAGCCTCTCCAATGGTTCAATCTGACATCCCTGAAGGGTACTTGAGGTCAAAGGAGATGTTGTTGCGGCTATGTTGCTTTTCCCTGATGGCTTTTCCTTTGACACCATTTGATGCATTGGTACATAAGTGCTCAACAGGATGGTAAAAAAAACATGACCACTGCAGGATGCTTACCCACTAGTTATGTGAGGAGAAAGTCCTAGTGAGTGGGACTTAGGTTTAGAGGACTGTTTGATTGTGCCGTACATGTTCTTAACCATCAGACTCATGCATGTTTTGGGGCATTCAGAAACACCTCCAATAAATCACATGTGGTAACAACACTCCCCTTTAACAGCCACTTGAATATACCTTCTGCAATAATGGCCAAGAGAGCTGAAAATGCTCTTCATAGCAACCAAAATGGAAGTAGGTTGAGGTTGATAAAAAACAGTAAAAAATCAAAGTTAGTAACTCTCATGCAAAGTAAACCAGATAAATGTGTTCACGTAGTGGGGGAGATACTAACAAACAAAACCTAATGCATTGGAGAAGGTGACAAATGCTGTAAATTCTGCTGTGTCAGAGGACAAAACACTTTGAAAACTGCGCAGTGCACGGGTTGCCAAATCTTCAAAGGACAAAATGAGCCATGGTACTTTTTTCAAATGCCTGTCAATGAGGGCCAAGGACTCCAATGCTTGATTGGACACTTTTCCTCATCTTCTCCCCTTGGAAAAACCATTTGGCGCCACTGACCTTACTCAGTAGTAAATCACAATAAAAACAGCATCTTTGGTTATCGCAACATTAACTTTATCCTGTCTGGAATATCAGTGTTCGGCCTGGTTGTGTACATTACAGTTGTTTAATGTTTTCTTAACAATGAGCATTTAGAGCAAGTTTAACTCTGCTCTCTACACTGTAATATTTTGATAGGACCCACCAGGAGCTAGTGTTGGCTACAGCTGCAAGGGAAACTGTCCTCTCAACAGAAAGAAACCTACTGTAGGTGATCAACCAACTGCCTTTGGGTTGGGTTAAAAAATAAAAAAAAGAAGACAGAGAGATAGATGCATTAAGATAGAGTCAAACAGACAGACAGAGAAAGATGTACATAAAAGCAATAACAACTGAAAGCAATAAATATAAGATTTTAAATTAAAATGAGATAATAACACACATACAACTGTAGTATACAACTGTAGTTTTGTGGTATCTAGCTATTACATTTAAACAGGCATTGTGGACACACAATGTTCTGTTCGTGTATCAGAGAACTTCAAGCTCAAAAGATATGATGGTGCCTGACCATTCAGGGCTGGTGGGTACATATTGTTTTTTTTTATTTTTATTAGGAACATATTTTTGAATTATATTAATGTAGAGTACTTAAAATATATCATATAAAACTTTCTTTTTTTTCTCAAGATTATGTCATTCAGCAGCACTGTGGACAAGCTAAAGGGTTTTAAGAATATCAAGGGGACATAGACAGGGATTGCAATAACACAGCCTAGAACTAACACATGTATGTAGCAGTTTTTTGCATCTTTTAAATAAATAATATGCCTGATTTATAGGATGTTGAGAAGGCAAGATGGGGTCCTTGAAACTGTTTTTATGTTAGAGCTGAAAAACCAACCTTACCAACGAGGGCTCCTAGTTTTCTTACAGTGATGCTTCAGGGTCTGTTAATACAAGACAAGAAATATGTTACATTATATTATATGCTTCTTGTGTTAAAGGATAATCATACCCATTGCAGTTTAAAGTGCAGTGTTTGATGGGGTAGAATACTAAATCATACTGTGATAATTACGAGAAAAATGTTTTTTCATCATCATGGAAAGGAGGATTAACAAAAATGACACACTGTAGTGAATTAGATGAAAAATATTGTGCATTGAAAGAGCTTATGGAGCATGTTCTCCCAACAAAGTCTTCTTTGAAATAAAAAGAAGAAGAAAAGAAAGCCTTACAGATCAACAGGCAAATGAATATGTTTTGATGTTGTTGAAAAGACCTTGGATTTTCTGGACTTTTCTCATTGATTCCAACTGTTTCAAAGGTACAGTACTGAAATATTCTGTATTTTTTTCCATGGTGCCAAACTGTTTATCAATGCTTTGGGGGGTTTTGTGAAAATGAAGGTACATTGTCAAAATATATATGATACTCATTAAGAAAAGGAAAGTTAGATAAATATTGGTGCGGAATGTCGTGCGTTAAAGCAGCAGCTTCTTGGACATTAAACATTAAAGACATTAAAGACATTAAACCCCAGGTTGCTCCCACTGCTGTGTCATCAGTGTGTGAATGTGAATGAATGGATTAGTTTATACTGATGGACACATCCTCTGCCATCAGTGTGTGAATGGTTATGTGGGACCTCCAGTATAAAAGCGCTTTGAGTATAGTCAGAAGTCTAGCAAAGCACTATACAAGCTCAACTCCATTTACCATTTACTTTCTATTAAGGAAATGTGGTTACATAAAGTATTTTGGGTAAATGAATTTGAAAAAAACAAGAATTAAAAGTAGGAGAAAATGTGTTACAACTGCTTAACTGCCACCCCATGTGAAGGTCAAAAGGAGTGAGAAAGGGAGATCGGTCTTAAAATAAGAAGTGTTCAGGTGAATTCAATCTAACAAGGAGTACAACCAACAACCAATCAATGCTGAATAAAGGGAAAATTGATGAAAAGGGAAGTGGTGAAAGATAACAAAACAATGATACTTACTACAAATAAATGTATATTGTACTTGGGAATTTGGTGTCGCACAAGCCATGATGTCAAAGAGAACATTAAACATTTGGTTCTGATGGAGTTTTGCAGTTAAGTGCTCCTATATGTTTGCTAGAATGTGCTGAGCTGATTCAAGTTGTGTTAATATGACCCATAGTTAAACCTTTTTGCTTATACGAGAGAATACATTATTAGCTGCCACAATAGCACATCCCACCCCCCGAATATTGTTATCTCCCCAAGCCCCTTAAATCCTTATTGAATTATCTGTCATCTCATTTGTCTTCTATCTAATAATCCTGCTGCCTACTGTTTGTAGGGTGAGAGCCCAATAATCCTGCCACATCAACATGGTAATTAGGATAGACAGGAGTGACTTATTAGTTCTGATCTTTCCTCCCTGTTTTGGGTGATTATTAAAATGATAGATGCTACGCCAGAGCAAATACTGTTTACTGCTGGGTGCCTGGAAATCGACCTTTTCAAGATTTTGTACACCTTGCCTCACATCAAGCAGACAGCAAAGAACTAGTGGCGTCGGCGTACAGTGCTTTTTGTCTTGGCCAAAAAGTTTCACTAGAACACACCGCAAAGACTTCAGCTGTCGGCCAACCACCACGTACGTTCTGCTCATGCGTGAGAGGAAATACCTCTCCATGCCAGCAGGCAGCGGTAGTCTGTAATCCTCTATCTAAAAAGGGGAAGAGAAAAAGAGAGACTGATGCGTTCTATGTAGTACTTGCAAAATAATATATGGTTAATGGACTGCTCTATTTGGACTATCAGCTTTTCTCGTCTCCAGACCACTTAAAGTGCCCTACAATACATTTTACATTCACAATTTCACCCACATACATATACTGATGGCAGATGCTGCTAAAAAAAAGTGCCAGGATGCCCTTCAGCCCCAATCAAAGCATATCCGCATGCTTTTATGAAGCAATGGTGATGCCATCTGGAGCCATGTTGGGTTCAGTGTCTTGCCAAGAGCGTAACAACATGTAGACTGTAGGGCTTGAGGATCATACCACCAATCTACAATTAGAGAATGACCCGCTTTTCATCTGAGCCAATTGACCTTAAATTCCACTAGCTGGCGATTTTTTTCCAAAGGGTGGCTCCTCCATATAATTTTGGAAGACTTTTTAGCCTGACCTGCAATCCTCTCCCTCTGTAGGCCTACATTAAGTTAACCTATGGTCACCTATTTTGCTCATGGCTACTTTCTTTTCTGGCACCAACATCTGTAGCAATGATGCTGCTTTTTTAAAAAGGGATACTCATAGCTTTGGAGGATATCTAGCAAGTGAACCTTGCATACTGTATGAACAGATATTAGCCTATCAAATATTCTGAAAATGTATTCTCCTGTCATTCCTAAGGCATTAAAAACATACATGTATTTTGTCACAGTCCTAGGTGTTAGCATAACATTGCAGACATGCCTTCTTACCAGACAAAAGTAAAATTACAGGATTAAGAAATTTCAAGCTAACTGTCTCAATGGTGACCCTCAATTTGCGAAACTCACGCGCACTTGCTTTTACTGTTTCACCATGAAAACTGCTATTGAAACTGTTCAGTGCAAAACTGAAAGTCAAGTTGATGTACAATATGAATCCACAAACTACCCAAATTGCAATGGTTTAACCACATTTACATTATGTAAGAAATCAAATAGTTAGGTTAAGTTTTGGTGCCAAAATTACTTGGTTGGATTTTGGAAAAGACTGAGTCAACAGTCACCAGGCCCAATTTTAAGAAAAAGGTTTAAACACAGAACATGGAAAGAAAAACCTGACAGTATCCAGGACTATCTGTACTTCATAAACTCTGATTCATATATTTTTTCACCTTTGAAAACTTTTAAAAGAGTAGTAGTGAAATGGTGGACCGATGTATCCCCAAGTACACGTGATGTGAACAAGCCACTCTATACTGTTACAGAACACATAAAAAGTTCAGGCTTCCACTGGTAGTTGTTCTGAAGGGCTCTTTAAATGAATATTTATACCAGTTAAGAGCAAGCTTACAGGCTGAGTGCAAAAGTTCTCATGAGAGACGCAGAGGTGGACCACGAAGGGTATAATGTGTGAATGCTGTTACAAAAGGTGCTGCTTTGCTGAGGAAAATAAATCTTTTACTTTCCTGCCCTGTACTTAATTAAACCCAGATTAAGAATGAGTCAGCCGTGATAATGGTAGTTTATCAGTCTCTGATTGTGTTACACACACACACACACACACACACACACACACACACACACACACACACCACCCACCCACCACCCACCACACACAACACACACACACACACACACACACACACACACGGCAATGGCAAGCCCACAAGTATTCCCTTACAATAAGCCCTGGATCTCAACTGACCTGAAAACAACTCTGAATTAAAAGAAAAAAACATTAAAATCAGGAAATAATAATGCAAGGCATTAAAACACTGGCTGACCTCCCCCAACAGCAATTCAGCAAATTGATCAGCAAAGACTGTGTCAATATGACAGACAGTTTGAACCAATTCTGCTGCAGGTTTTACCAGTCAGACTACTCATGGGAGCAAGAGGAGCGAATAGCTGAACCTACTCCACTCACATGCAAATCTGGAGTTGCAGCAGGTGGAGGTAGAACATATACTAATAATAATAAAACAAAAAAAGGACCTGATCAGCAGGACCTGATCAGATCTGTGGCAGTTTGCTGAAGGCCTGCTGCAGCCAGCTGGCTGGTGTTTTTCTGCAATCTCTTCAACCACTCCCTGGCAGAACACTCAGTCCCATCAATCAGGAAATCAGCAATTGTCCGTCAAGTAGCCAAAAAGAGCTATCCCACCTATAACAATGACTAAGAACCTGTGGCATGTTGGTTATGAAAGGCTTTGAGAAGCTTGTTTATTTCCCTCAAGCGAATGCTGTATGTTGTTCCCACGAGTTCAGTGCAGAATAAGAAAAAGCATATTTTCCAGTTCAAAGATGTTTGAGTTCTGTTAAGTATGAGGGTAATTGTTCTGTGAGAGCTTTACAAACAAAAAGATGCCAGTACATATCACATCTCTCTGTGGACACTTTACATAGCAATGGGTGTAAAAGCACTTTGAGTAGTCAGACTAGAAAAGCGGGACACAAGCTCAAGTCCATTTATCGTTTACCATTCCCCACCTGATGGGTAGTGAACTGCTCCATTTGAAAGCAAACCTGCACCTGATCCTCCTGGTTCTCTCATGCTTAACATATAGACACAAGAGAGTCCTAGTCAACAGTCACCTCAGTTCATCTAAGACAGTCCTAACAAGAGACCAGTACCAGTACTGTACACCCTTTACACAAATGACTGCAGGAGCACCAGTTGTACCATTAAATATGTTCATGCACACCAGCAGCTCAGACGGACAGTCACAGGCTGGTGGACATTTTTCCAGGGTTGTGCTGACAGAATTCTCTTGACCTCAACAACCCTACCAGGACTAAGGATGTGGTTGTTGACTTCCAGGATCCCCACTCTGTTAGAAAACAACCACCCTATAGAGAGAGTTGACTCATACAGATACAGTCTTACATTCATAGGAATCCAATATACAAGATCATAACAATAAGTAGCGGTAAAATAATCTGACTGGAGCGGGAACCGCATCAGCATTAACAACAGAAGGACAACTCTGAAGGAAAAACATATAGCCTCAACCACTACACACAATCACTTTAATACAATACCACCTTCTACCCTCAGGCCACAGATACAGATCACTCAACTTAATGAGTAACAGAGCCACGTCAAGGTTCATGCCCACATTCATCATACTCCAGAATGGCTGATTGATTTGTTTAATTATTTTCACACCATTCTTTTTAACATTTTAACAATATTATTCATAACTTTATGTTTTAAACGTTTACTTATGAATGGTTATTCATTTTTCACCCATATTAGCATTTTTAGCATTATTTATTGTTCATGTGTCATGCATTACAAGCTTCACTCACTCATCACTTTTGATTGCGCTATGGATGTTGTACGAGATATCTGTATGTGTGTGGTTTGTTCTTGTGCTGTTATACATTGACAGACTCAGATCTAGTGAAGAACTTCCTCAAAACAAAAAGAAGCAGGGATCTCTTCGAAAAATGATCATAATCAATCTCCCTTCCCTCCCTTTGTGTCTTTTTTTTCCCCAGGATCACGTTTTGCCACCTTCCCTTTCAGAGTAAATGGCTGTACGTTGGAACAGAGCGTGGAAACACACACATCGTCAACATAGAGTCCTTCATTTTGTCTGGATATGTCATCATGTGGAACAAGGCCATAGAACTGTAAGTTCCCCATGCATACAAATACTCAATTTGACCAACAAAGTGCAAAAAATGATGAGAGATGACTTTTATTGTAACCATGGTGATGCTAATTGTGTGAATGGTGGTGGGACAGTAAATTGCTTGCTATAATTAAGTCTAAATTTTCTGGTTTCCCTGAATGTGATTTGAAAATATTGTTTTATAATGTCATGCCCTCTGATGTGAGATTAATAGGTTCATGACTTACCTATTCACACAATAACTGGGTTGTTTTTGAGTCCATCTTGTCCTAAAATGTTACTGGGATAGTACGGATAAGGTACTACTATGAGGTATTGATTGCGGGCCTATTCTCAACACTGGATAGTGGTCAGCAAGGCCCATGTTTGGAGAAGCCTGGGTACAGATATATAGGCTAACCCTTAAGGATTTTCTGACATCCAGTTGAAGCAGTGAAAAAATTAAATCAATATAGCATTTACTCTAAATTATTTTGTTTTTTAATGTGAAACTTTTCAGAGTGGCTTCTTTCAAGACTATGACAACAGTTGATAATACACTCACAGTGCATAGATATCTTATACAGCCCCACTCATGTGGATTCATTTGTTATTGTTTGGCCATATATTATTGCACGTATAACAAGGCTATAACTCCTTACAATTACTTGCAGATAAGAACTCACTCATAGTAATTATCAAGAGTAGGATTTTATTTCATTCAGTAAATCAGGCAATGTATGGTCTCGGATTTATTTTCCTTTTAAAGATTTATTTTTTGGCTTTTTTCCTTTATTTATATGCTGAACTAATTGTCACCATTCAGGTTTATAAAGTTACCGGTTGGCATTAAGCATTCACAATGACATATAAGGCCTAACATGTAGGAGTTTAATGATTTATCATTCAGCAAAAGGCTTTATTTGTCTGTCTAAATGTGCTTTTTGTTTTCTCCAAGTGTTTACTCAGGTTTACTCAGTGGCTGACATGCAGCAGATAGAAAACTTAAAGTGCCATCAAACACACAAATGGCGCCTAGCTGAATTGTAAACCTGTTTGTTTCTTTCCGATTCACCCACCCACATGCGGTTCTTCTGGTGTTACCCTGACAAGACCCCCGCTGCAGTGTCAGTCACAAGTCAGCCTCGAACCAGGCCATCTTTTTTCCATGTGACAGCCAAGAGTATACTGACGATCATAACACTGACATGTTTGTGTGGGAGGGCTGTCATCGCCAAAGTCTAAGAGGCTAAGACAGTGGATCCAAATTTAACAGGACTAGTGATTTTCTCATCAGAGAGTTTGTTTATACCTCACCAATTGTATTTCCCTACCTAGATGAAATAATTTTCATCAGTCTTTAAAATAAGACCTTAAGGATTTATACTTAAGGCTTACTCCCTGGCATGTTTAAGTGTACAATCACTGACTGAGCAGCCATATTTGTCATGGTAGGAGAGGGAGCATACATATATGTCATATATGTACAGAAATGAAAGCAAAAATCCACTGATTAACGTAACACTTATATTCTGCATCATTAAATATTAGGTGAGGATAAAATGTAAAGTGTATGTAATAGGGAAATAGAGGATCAATAGAGCACAATAGATCATCTCAACAAAATGTTATACTCTCTAAATTACTCTAGGTCTTGTTTATGTGTAATCTGTGTTATATTTACTAGAATAGTTTCAATGTTTGCCTCAGGAGAATTTTTGATTAAACATGAATAGTAATGACTGTTTTTCCAGGAGTGGAATGATAAGCTGTGTAGATCGTGAGTCATACAGTATTTGGTTTGTGTGTGTGTGTGTGTGTGTGTGTGTGTGTGTGTGTGTGTGTGTGTGTGTGCAATCATTTCAAACAAATGCTCTGTTGTAATGTATGTGTTCTAGCTGTGACCAGAGCATCCAAACAGGGAGGGCTGGGCTCTCATTGAAATGTAAATGTGTTTGCAACATATGTAATGCTCTTCATCTTCAGTGGATTCCTTCCAAAATGAGATGTAAAAAAATTGATGCAGATAGAATTGGAAAACACAGCAGCTCAGAATCCAATCTGAACCACTTCATGGATTCCTGTGATGAACAGGATTGCGTCTACTCCTGGCATCATGTCAGCTGTAATCAACATTGGCATATCTATTTCTGTTACTTAGATTTTAAAATAAGCTCTGAGCTTTTGTGGCCATTCTGGTCCAACATTTGTTATGAGTAATATGAATAAGCAGTCCAAAAGTGCAATTCAAAATCACTATCACAGCTGGCATTCATTTGAGTATTGCTGCTGTCTCTGGATCATAATACAACAACCTTTTTTAGGAATTAGTATTTGATGCAAAGTGTTCAGCAAAGCAATTACTGAAACCCTATTCCCACTACTTTCCCCCTACTTTATACATTTCAATATTTTACACGACCTAACTATAAAGTTTCTGTTGTCATCCTATTGTTACATTAGTGGTTGGCAATGTGTTTTTTGCTTTTTGCAATTTGTTATTATATTACGGTATCACAGTAGTAAAAGGGATTATATGGACACTTATTCACACACTAAAACCGCCTTTCTCCTCTTCAAAGAAGCCTGTTTTATATGTTTCTGCAAGAGTTAACAAATTGCATTCACTATGAGATAATTATTACTATTATTTTACAATATATATTTTTTGTTAGTTATACATTTATTTGATAGGACAGCTGAAAAGAGACAGGAAATGTTGTAAGGAGAGAGTAGGTGATGACATGAAGCAAAGGGACGAGGTCGAATTTGAACCCACAAGCCGCTGCGATGAGGACTAAATCCTCCGTACATGGAGTGCTGATAGCCTAGCGATTTTATATTTTATTCCCAATAGATTCTATTGTAATTTTAATATTATTTGATGATGAATGTTTTATCTTTTTCAAAGGTAAAACACTCCTCTGTAAAGCACTTTGGTCAACCTTGGTGGTTTTAAATGTGCTACATAAATAAAGTTGACTTGACTTTGGCACTTCCTGTTGAAGAACCTGTCTCTAGCTTTTAGAAATGTTGGAGTTATTCTATTAAGCCTCAGAGTTTCTCAGGCAAACACTATTCATACGTTTTCTTTCTTTATTTCAAAAGATTATGAGTCACTTTGTGTGGATTTTAAAGATCGACCTTGTCAGCTGAAAGGAAAACTTCAACAGGTGTCACAAAGTCAGCCAGCAACTTTCCTCTGTATACTGTACATATACGGGTGTGTGTGTGTGTGTGTGTGTGTGTGTGTGTGTGTGTGTCTCCACAGTATTACAGCTTACTTTAAGCAAAGGAAATGTTTTCAATAGCAAGCCTTTTGCTTTTCATCTTAAAGAAATTGATAACTTCTTTCGTTAATACTAATAAACGCTCGGTGCTGTCCATGGTGCATTATGTCTACATGTTTGTGTGTCTATGTGTGTGTGTTTGTGTGTGGGTTTGTGTGTGGTGTGTGATTGCTAATATAAAAAAGTTCAGAAGCAAAAAGCCCACACTGATGTTAAATAAGAAGCTTTTTAATAGGTTTGTGTAAAACAACCGTGTACCTCATCAGTAATTACTGTTGTGCATTATGGATAGTGTAGGCTATTAGTAATATTGTTATTATTTCCTTATTTCTCTGCTGAGTAAAAATGTATTCTGAGCTTTTTTATTTATTCATTGTGTTTATTTCCCTCTGACAGCAGGAGTTAATGGGTCTACATACAATGAGTACATTTTTAGTGCCCATATATCAAGCCTCTGAACATTGTGTTTACATGCTTTTGGCCTGAAAAGTCTGTTACCTACATGTTAATTGAACCCTCTACTGATGGCTTTTGTTTACTCTCTGAATGTGTAATGGGCTACTGTACTTTACTGAATACATCAACTCTTAATGCCTTCTTTTTCATCTCTCTCTTTGTTTCTTTTCATCTTGTCACAGAGCAACTAAAACTCATCCAGGACCTGTGGTTCACTTGAGTGACAGCCCAAAGGATGAAGGCAAGGTGAGTAAGCAGATAAAGGAATTGGCAACACATCTTGGTTCTTAATCCCACTTTCAATGCTACGACGATCCAAAGAAGCCCTCTCTTCTTACATTAGTCCTTCAGACTTCACTCTGTCTTCCAGTATATTTATTCTTTCTATATTTAACCATTTACTGTACCTCAGACTATTTACCTGCCTTTTCTCATTTCATACTCCTCGGCCTGGCTTTCTTGCCAGCACACACAAAGAAAACCATTCACTCTACAGTGAACCTCTTCTATTGTTGCTCTCACATTCTTTGTCTTTCTATTGGCTTTTCATCTGGACACACAGAAGAAAAGGTGTTTGAGGGACTTATCCAATAAGGAGGGGTTTTCCAGGGTCAAGCTGCAGTCAAATTGGAAGGAAACGTGTGAGATTGAGGTAGCTGTAAAAGAGGAGAGCCAGGCGGTAACAAGGTCATTGAAGAGCATATGGATTTTCCCAATAGATTTTCCTTCCTCTGAAACCCGACTTGACGAGCTGTGAAGACATAAAAACAAGGCATAAATTTAGAGATTTTGTCACACACTGCCTTCACTCACTGCATAAAAAACAAATGCTGCTTTAATGCTGCTTGCATGTCGCTTCACTAGCAAAGTAAGAACGTCACTTTTATGTTATAATGGTCATTTTCCTTTAAAGATGGGAGAGTTTACTATGCACGTGTATTTAATTCCAAAAACCTATTTTACACTCCTTGTTGTATTTAGTAGTTAGCCTACAGCTCCAGCTTTCTGATCATGAAGAATTAAAACTGAAGACTGGGAATAAAAATTAGAAATTCATGAATTTCAATCATCACACTCCCCAGGAAGTATAGATCACACACTATTTTAATCATTTTAATATAACTGTATAATCGAAGACATGCCCAGCCTTTCAAAATATCATTAAAAAAAGAATATCAAGAAGTGTGGTCAAAAACTGGTTTTGAAAACAGTTAAACTCTAACTTGTTACCACAAAGTTAGAAATATCATACTTGTACGAACACATTAGTACAGTTTATGTGGATATCTTTGTCAGACATGTTACTACATGGCCTACGCATGCCTTGGAAAGCAAGCTGTGCATCATTCCGATGATAAAAACTGATTGGAGCGGATCCCAAGTGACCTTGCCCAAACAGATTATCTTAACACTTCAAACAGATAGGGCTCCACAAATACTTTTCGCCATATTTAATATTTATTGGAAAGTGAGAATGTAAAATGCTATTCTGCTGCCAAATGCTATAATGGTCCACCAAGCCTTTATGCATGACCTCCCCCACAAAATGCATAGGTTAGACAGGTTGATGAAGACAGTAGTTGGTCAAGACAGGCGTACTGGCCAAGGAGGAGTCACAATATGTCATCTCTTGCTTAGCTGCATTGCAAGTACCCATTCCTTAAAGGAGGTGCAAGCAGTCACATTTAAGCAAATCTAGCAAAGGACATGACCGGCCAACATATGTCAGAGGACCAGCGCCCTGCCACAAGGCATCAGAGGTTGTGTGCACCATCACTCCTACTGGTGCTGGAATTTCATTACCTTTGTACACCTGCTGAATCTTATCCACAACTGCAAAGTTTTAGATGATGTCACTGCCATAAATAAGGCACTCTTGAGTGTCAAACACCTATGCCCACCTTCTTCAGGGGCTTAAAAGGCTCATGTGGTAAGGCAGCCAGCATAAAACCTGAATGCCAGGTCAAGATTGCCACCTTCCTACTGGGCCGAGTAGGAGGGGTGACATCAGTCAGCCTTACCACCAATACAAGATTAGTATGATAACTGCCACCATGCCCTTAATTCCCTTAATTGGCATGCATGTACTCAGGTGAGTATAGCTCTGTGAAGACACAGTTAAAGCTAATGGATTGTCCAAAACAAATAGAAACATTGCATATTTAACCCCCAGCAGTTTGCTGTCCTCAGAAAAAATAGTCGAAGCACTTGTACACAGCATTTCGCATTCACCCATGCATAGACACCTTCAGACACTGATGGCAGAGGCTGCTTTGTAAAGTCTCCATCAGTACTAACTGAACTAATGGAAACAATTCATGTGCTGCTGACAAGGCCACCAGGAGCAATTTAAGGTTCATTGTCTTGCTCAAACTTTGAACGACAAACTTTTGGATTGAGAGACAACTGACCCTACCTCTGATCCACCGACACCTCACCATGTATAAAAGTAATATACAATCATTAATTAAATCAGTCAGTGGAAATGGGATCCTTCTGCCCCAGGAAGAGGATGGTTATGAGATTAAATTGATTTTAAAAAATGATTCTGAAGTTGAAACTGATCCATATTAGCTTTATATGTCTAAAAGTCAGGTGATTTGTGGTTCACGTGGTATACTTTTTCCTTACCCATCTACTTGTTTTTAAGTAAAAGAAAGCTTCAAATACAACACAGCACAGTTTACAGGGAGCCCGCAGCTACACTTTCTTAGTCAACATGACTTTTGCAGGAGCAGGATATGAGGCAAAATCAACAATAGAGTTCAAAATAAATATATGATTATTATTATTTTTTAGTCTAGTGTCCTTTATGGAGATAAAGAAACTCAAGCTCTTGTTGAGAAGTATCCTCGTGTTTGTATCTGATAAATCTGTGTGAACAAGATAATCTAAGTGAGAGAGTCAGCAAAAGTGACCAACATTTGATCTGCAGCGTAAGAGTAGTGTATATGAGCTCTAGGTATAACTTAAGTCATTATTAGCTTGCAAGGCAATACTGATTGATGGTTCAACCTAAATTACATTTTTAGGGAGAGAGATTAGTGGCTATGAAAGCCCTCACCAGTTTTATAGTAACATAAATACAATTTCAAGGTTACATTTGAATAGCCAAGTGTAACTGATATTGACTTTGGGATGTCTGCATGGTTCATTCATTTATTTGTTTTAATTATTTCATAGTCCATCTTGATAAAGACCACTGTTGATGTTCTTTGGCACATTAAAAGGCCACTGTGGCTTAGCTGATAGAGTTGTCCCCTCTCAATCAGAAGGTTGAGGGTTCGATCCTCAGCTGGGCAGCTCCTATCTTTCCTTGGACAAGACAGTTAACTCTAAATTGCTCAAATCCTGCTGCTCTAGTGGTGTTGTGTGAATGGGATTAGTTGCTTCTGATGGATGATACTACATAGCAGTCACTACCATCAGTGTGTGAATGTGTAGGTGTGACCTGCAGTGTAAAAGTGGTATGAGTAGTTGGAAGACTAGAAGAGCACTATAGAAGCTCAAATCCATTTACCATTTATTGGGTGTGTGTCGGTCTGTGCTTTTATTTATCCCCATGTTTGCCTTCTTTTTAGTTATCAATTATTCAATTATTCACTTAAATCTGCGTATGTAATTCGACGATTATTGATTCTAGTCATTTAGCAACATAGTTGTGGTGTTTTGTAACCGTGCTGTTTTGAAAAGTAACTATACAGTACTAAACTTGTGAATTGAGAATCAAGAATATCTGTCCCTGAGCTGGATCAAATGGTAATTCAAAATAGTATTTCATATAAATGCCAATGTCTGAAAGCTCACTTGAGAGGAATTTCTCTGTGGCTCAGTTGGTAGAGTCATTGCCTCTCAACCATAAGGTTAAGGGTTCAATCCCCAGCTGAGCAAGACGTCTGATGTGTCCTTGGGCAAGACACTTCAAACTGCTTCATGGCAGTGTAAGAATGTACTTACTCTCTTATGTACGTCATTTTGGATAAAAGCGTCTGCTAAGTGAATTGTAGAATTCTTAAAAAAATGAAGTTGCATGGTGTAATAATTGTATGTATTTATTTGACATGTACTGCTACAAGCATACATTCATGTGTGGCCAATTCCTTAGTAACAAGGACAACAATCAACATTCATGATTGTTAGTGATACTAATGTGAAGCTTTGAGGTCGCAAATTTTACGAGGCATTTTGCTTTTCCTTCCCTTCCATCTTGTGATTTGAGATGTCACACTGTCTCTCCTCTCTGCCTGAGAGCTGTTTCCCCCACTCTCTCTAGTCCTCCACAGCTTCAAGACTGTGCTCCTAAAACATCACTCCCATCTCCTGTGATGTGTGATCCGATTGCGTACACTTTACTGAAATTTTGATTTGGAAGTCGTGTGTACATGTGTGACTTTTCATCTACAGTGTTTACATGTAAATGTGTCACCGACATTGGTAAGAATGCATGTTCAGGGTGTGCATGTTTGTGTGTGCATGTGTGTGTGTGTGTTTGTTTGTGTGTTTTGTGTGTGTGTGTGTGTGTGTGTGTGTGTGTGTGTGTGTGTCTAGGAGGAAGGTGAGGTAGGGAAAGTTTGTTTATGGGTGCCACAGACAAAATGACAGCATTACTGCAAAGTGTAATTATGCAAATTACATTTTTACAGTTGCTTATGCTCGGCTCATCATCCCATTTAAGTTTCTAACAATAGTATTTATTTTTTATTTTCCTTTTCACTCTTCTATACAGCTACTTATAGGGTTTGAGAGTGGGACAATCGTACAATGGGACCTCCGGGGCAAAAAGGCCGACTTCAGAATCTACTATGATGAGGTGAGTCCCTTCATGCACTCCTGCAAAGAGAAATGGAAAAACAAAAAAGAAACTTGGCAAAACTGCTATCAAGGAAAAGCTATTTATTTATTTAAAAAAAAGATTTCCGCTTTTTTGTCTTTTCTTGCAAATAAGGGAAATATTTCTGTGGCTATAATTTCTTCTTTGGGCATATTCTAATAAAAGAATATTCTGTTTGATGCCTGGTTTAGGCTACCTCAGCTGGGATAGCCTTGTTATAGCAACACAAAGTACAAAAAATACAAAATTTGATGAATAAAGAGTTGTGAAACATTATAAATGTCTTTATTTGTGCACATTTGATGATGCATGTTGAAGCAAGTGAACATTCATAAAACTGTTCTGATATGGACACTTTATGAAATACAAGATTCTGTTTTTTTTTTTCTTCTTTTGTTACCATTTCTAGGAAACTATTACAGATAGATTTCTTGAAAAACTTTTCAACTTTGAGGGCTGGTTGCTTGTAATGATCATGACAAAAATGTTACAAACTCTGATTAATGAAATGAAATATAGTCACTTAAGTGAGTATCTCCAGGAGATCTTAGATTCAACAAAGACAGAAGCGTAGATCAGTTCAGACAAAAAGGGAAGTTGTTCCATTTGAGCCTTAGCATCATCTAAGTGATCGTTTTTGTCCATCAGTCACTTATCCTAAATATTGCCTGCATCTTAGATCCAAATGGAGGGCATTTCGTGTCTATGAGCAATGTCAATTTTTCTTTTTATCAGCACTGCATATGTTTCATTAAGTGCCGTATCCCCATGCCTGCCAGCCAACTCCATACTGCTTATTAAACATAACCAGTAATCTGAATTATTCAGATACCAGTATTCAGGCATGTTTCTTAAAGTCAAAGTTGATCTGTCGGCTCACACAGTGTTATTGCCGAAATCATTTTTCACCTTGTTGCACTTACCATCTGCAACAGGTACATCTCTCACCTCCTCTCCCATCTCCCTTGAAGAACAACATCCTGCTCACATACATAATGTGGTTTCATGTGCACTGCCCCTTGCACAGCATGACGTTTCTGTCTTACACTTCTTCTGCAGGGAACAAAAACAACAACACCAAAAACACCAGTGCTCATCAACAGCATCTCAAACTCTTATTGTTACAATCACAAGTTACTTTTTGATGTGTTTGTTGCTCTGTCAGAAAATACACAGAAAAAATGTTCAAAAGCAATGCATTAAATTGACATGAAAACAGTGTATAGGAGTTAATATAAAAAAAGATAATCCCTCTTATAACTTGTATTCATTATTTTCTATTCTTGTATTTTAAGAATAATGTGTATAATTCTTTAAAAAAAAATTGGGTTAATATCAATTTAAGCACAGTGACGACAAGCAGTTATAGACTTAATCTGCCAATACCAGTGCACCGGTATTGGCAACAGGATCATCAGAGTATCATCAGCTGAATCATCAGTCCAGGCCAGCTAAGGCTAGAATGGAGGCAGTGTACTAAGCCAAAAAATATGTTTAAAGATCATGTGTATCATTTTTTTTTTTTTACAATTTGAGAGCATTGCAGAAAGGAGAAAAGATTCAGGTTCGGCATGTCTCTGCTATTTGGGAAGGGATTGTAAGCTTACACACAACTGTTCCAATCAACTACTGCTCATCTGGCAAAAAACCTCAGAGACAGGCATGAAGGGCCTCTGCCAAACCCTGGTTTCAGCCACAGCTATCACCTCAGAGCCGATACCCCAGGTAATCCATCCGAATTGATGGCCTGTGTAAAGAGCATGAGCCAGCAGAGGAATTTGAAGAACCAGTACACCCCAGCCACAACAGCCTTGGAGTCACCTTCAACAATTGTCAGGAAGCAGGAGACCTGGCCTGGCTTGACCTTGAAAAAATAGCTAGGGCTTTACACCATCACCTGCCATCTGTGCACAAAATATGTACTGTACGGTCCATCAAACGAACAAGAAACAAAACCAAAGAAGGAGATTCCTATCCAGGCCTTAGTGATAGAGTCAGTCATCTCTAAAAATTGAAAATTGGGGGTTAGATCCCAGGCTCCTGTAGCCACATGTTGATTTGTCCTCTGGGCAAGAGACTTATCCCCAAATTACTGCTGCTGCTAAATCAGCTGCGTGTGAATGTGTATAAATTGATTATTTAATACTAATGGTCACATTAGATAGCAGGCTCTGCCATCAGGATGTGAATGTGTATGAATGAGTAGGTGTGACCTGTGTTAAACAAAGCACTTTGAAGTCGCCAGAAGACCAAAATAGGGCTATATAATCCATTTACTGCACTCTCTGTGCACGTAATCAAAATGCTGTGTTACGTTTTCTGTTCATCAGTATGTTATCGCCACTCTTTTGTTGATATTGTTGTTCCATTGAACTACACATACCATTGATATAAAGGCAATAGCAGTCCTCCTGAAATTATTTAGATATTTTCAGGAGTGCATATGTGAAAACAGCTTAAGTCAGATTAACAGACATGGAATAGGATGTGAAGACCTGAAGACCCCTAACTATGACTTTGTATCTTACCAAAGCAAGCTACAAAGCTTCTCAAGGGCTCCTTCTTGGTTGCCAACATGAATTGCTTGAAGATTAACAATCTGCCAAAGTCCCTACTGTGTTCATCATTTTCAAAAAAGGGTGGATAACTCCAGATGTGCATTGATTTAAGGAAGCTAAGTTCCATCTTGGAGTTGAGGCTTATGCCATGCCAAAAAACAATGGCCTCCTGAAGAAGATCAGAACTAACATGTACATCACTACTCAATATTTTTGTCATGAATACTGCCAGGTGTCCTAGGAGGAGTCATGGCGGACATTCCATTCCACCACCAAATGTCAAGATCTACTAGTCAGTTTTCACTTTGACACACAGCACCATTCTGTTATACTGAGACCAATACTGATGGGCAGAGTCCTACAGAGGTTTTACAACTGCAGCTCAGCTAATCTCGAAGATGTGATGACTTTCAGCAGTACATGGGAGGAGCATGGGGAAACATGTACCTGAACCACAAACTGCAGCCATTAAAGGGGAGGTATCCAACTATAGTTTAAGAAGGCATGGCTATAAAGGGGTTGAAAAAGAGCATCAAATACTAATTTGTCAAATACTAACAGCTTTCTCGTCTCATGTTATCTCTCGGTCCACTCTCTTAGTATCCACATTAGGCAATTATTTTATTTTCAGGTAGCTTCTACTTAGCAACCTCTGGGAGGTGAAGGATGATGGCTGCCTCATCACTGACTTTGAGCAGCAAACGCACATATACACATTGATATATTAAAATAGTGTCAAGTGGTTCTTTTACAGGTTTTTTTTGATTCAAGAATTCATCTAAACCATGCCTTTTTCATTTATTGTTTACCATTGTTTACAAATTGAAGTAGAGAGATCTGAAACATTTGAAACCAAAGAGCATTTTGACATTATTGTATATATGACATGTTTGTAAAATCCATTCCCTCCGGCTCATTGGTACAGGCCATCCATTCAGCCAGCTGGCATCATGAAGGGAAGCAGTTCATGTGCAGTCACTCAGATGGCAGCCTGACGTTGTGGAACCTCAGAAACACCACCAAGCCATTCCAGGTCACTTTCCCTCATGGTGAGATGCACAGCCACAATTAACCCTTCTAAATTACTAAACAAAATGCAACTCTTAATAATCTGAAGCTGGAAAAAGTGGGTCCATGTGTAGTTATACAGCATAGAGGAAAATACTGTAGGATAAACCTCCCATAAGTGTGGAAGTAGAATGGGCTTTGTCCCTCTTGGATGTATCAAATTTCATAAAGCATTGATTTGTACTGGATTTCACTTTATCTGTAAATGTAACCATCCCTCCAATTCCAACCCTACTGTGCTTCGATGGCTAGGAAAGCCAATAGGACAAACAGGAGACTAGCAGGAACCTTGATAACACAAACATAAGACTTTCAGCTACAGTATGTCTCGGGTAAATCCATCAGCATTGACTAAATGTTTCCACCGAGACCTCAAGCTTCAATTTCTTTTAGTATTTTGAGTTGCATGTACATGGTAAATAAGAAGTATAAACATTGTGATTAGGGCGCCAACACTACCATTCTGGGTTAAAGAAGAGACTGTGTTTTGGGCTTAAATAATTCTTGAATATGGACTGCACAGGACAACAAGAGCATTCTCCTGTACTCCTGGTTAAAAATAACTTTGATTAAACAAGGCCTTCAAGGAATCATTTAACCCCATCTACAGCCAATCACAGCACAAAAGCACGAGCTAATTGCAGTACACTAAAGTTTAATAGGGCAGAACACTGAACCCTGACAGCATGAGTAGGACCCCTACGTGAAACAAGGGGGTCTTCACTCACCACAACAATCTGCTTGCTCTACATTTTTCCACTTACCACACGGCTACCGAGTTAAGAATCAATCATTTGAACCAAATATTGATCTGGAAACGATTTCAATGATATACAATGTTTGTTTTTTTGCCAAACAAAAAGTCAATTGGAATCTTTGTCCATCCATATCACTGTTAAAATAAGTGTATCCTGTCTGTTAATACGTTAAACTTGACAGAATTGGAAGTGGTCTTGTCACTGTTGGACTCTGTTAACATTTTATTTTACATTCACCAGGCTTTAAAACGTCACTGTATCCCATGCCAAGTTATATTATGTGTTAACTTCTTGTGGATTTCTATGTCATAGCCTACAGGTTTTATGTCTCTTAATTTCTGTTTACCACTGTTTTCATCCCCTTTCTCTTTTTCCTTCAGTTACAGACCAACAGTAAATGAACCAGACTTTTTTTCTTCTGTGGATTCATATGATTACAGTTTAAAGTCTATAATAAGGATCTTTGATTTAAGCAATTAGGGTCTTTAAAGTCTATGATTAGAGTCGCGCCCCTTGCAACCACCTACATTCCATAGTAACATGTTTGTATTCTTAACAACAGTGTTATATGGAGGGAGAGCATACTATGCTATGCAAAGCTGGCCAATCAGAATCTAGCATTTAAAAATCAATTTACCAATGTAAACATTTAAATAAAATATGCCCGTAAACTTTGTCCCCCTCAGTTTAGAACTAACTAGTTCACAGACATCAGGATTTTGTTTGATTTAACGAACCATCCAAACTCTCACTGCTCTCTTCCTCTGACAAGTGGGTCTTTGAACCTGCAGGGCATCCTGACATTGTCAGATCTTTTTGTCAGCTTTCATCTCAGCAAAATCCAAAAAGAAGAAAAACATGAGGGAAGGACATGGACAATTGTTGTTCAAGGCGGAGCAGTAGGACTTCAGAAATTAGTTAAATAGGTGTTAGTGTCTTGAGTTAACCCTTGTTATGAATTGGCGGTATACAAATAAAGATTGATTGATTGATTGATTGATTAAAACAAACAATAGAATATCCCAAGATTAGATTTTCCATTGTATCTTGGTAAAGTGATAATAAGGTTCTTTGTGATTATGATATCCCTAGAAATGTATTGGATCTGATCAATTTTTCTTGAAAACACTTCCTCTGTGTTTACTTCTCTACTTCTTGATATTTTCCACTAGTACCTCTGACATGAACAGCCTTTTTGACACAGAGGGCCTGATCCCCAAAAGGAAAGCACAGCTTTACATATGCTATACCTCTGTAAATGAGAGAAAAAGATAACGTGTAGTCAACAAAGTACATGCAAATTTCACTGCCAAGCATACAGTGTCCTTGGTGCGCCTTTTCCATTTGCATGTATGTAAATTACAGAATATTCTAAAGTTCAGCACAAAGTTGCCCCCTTCCTAATAAGCCTAGTTGCAAATACGGTCTAACTCACAAAGACCTGCTGTAATATAATATATGCAATTACCATGTAATTCACAAAGACCAGCGGTAATGCCACAATAGCGGTAGTGGTCCCACTGCCTTCCAGCTAAGATCTTTTGAACATTATAACAATATTTGAACAAAGTGTTTTGGTGTGGTTAATCTATTGTCACACATAGGAGAAAATGAAATTTGGTCTTATCTCTTTCAGTTTCAATAGAACTAAGACCAGAAGTTAATAGTTAATGTCGTTCATTCTGTTTTCTATATCCTCTAATTCAGGAAAAATACAAAAGGATGGGAGGAAGGAATCATGTAAACCCATACTCAAAGTGGAGTATAAGACCACAAGGAACAGGTGTGTCTTTTTTTAGCAAAAAGCCAGCTTCAGAGTGGATGATTTGAATCATGTCAAGTGTCTTTGTTAAATTTGATAGTTGTTTATTTTGAGAATTGTGACATTAATTATTCAGTTATTTAATCATTTAGAGTAAAGTAGGAATGCTATGTATGACAACCCAAATGATATATTAATAAATGGCAAAAAGAAAAAGATTCATACTAACATGAAGATTTCATTTATGCAGCGATTAATTTTTTTGTCTTTGTTTATGTCAGTACTAATAGTAACGTGCTTATAATTAAATGTTAGTCAAATTCAAGTTTAAAGAAAGGACTTATTAGTAGATTTATTAATTCATAATTGATTTGGGGCTGATGAATTTCATCCTCCAGCATTGATACAGAATAAGTATTCCTAAAGTCTTGTTTATCTCCACAACAGCGAGCCCTTTGTTATCTTCTCTGGGGGTCTCTCATATGACAAGGCAGGACGGCGGCCAACATTGACTATCATGCACGGCAAGGCTATCACTGTCCTGGAGATGGACTATCCCATTGTAGAGTTCATGGCACTCTGTGAGACTCCTTACATCAACGGTGAGTACATTCAGAGACAATAAAAACAGTTTCATATGTATTTGGTATTTTGATTGATGGGAATGAAGGGATTGGTTTTATAATGGAAATATTATCGATGCGTTTTCTTCTGTTATGACTATAGAGCAATAAAATATATTTATTTAGTGAAATAAAATGCTACGAAAGAATGGGTTCAAGAACGTGAAACGTAAAAAGGTCTGAAATCAGGGGGTCGGTATTTTCTGTGATTAGAGTTAGCCTATACTCTCATGCATCTATTAACATCCAGGTCACACATTTAACATTGTTTCCTTTCAAACTACACACAAGCCAATCTCAGGCTTTTATAAGACTCTTATTAATGGGGTGGCTGTGGCTCGTTTGGTAGAGTCGTCGTCGTCCCACTGGAAAGTTGGGGGTTCGATCCCCAGCTCCTGCAGCCACATGTCAGTTGTATCCTTGAGCAAGACACTTAACCCCAAAATACTCCCACTGTCTCGTCGGCGGTGTATGAAAGGAATTAGTTACTTACTTTCTTCTGAAGGTCACTTTACATCGCAGCCTCTGACATCAGTGTGTAAATGGTTGTGAATGGGTAGGTGTGATCTGTGCTGGAAAAGCAACTAGAGAAACGCTTTACAAGCTCAAGTCTGTTTAACATTTAAGAAAACGAGTAAATAGTATTTGCTGCACAGAAGTTCTGCAGCAAATACACCAAAAATGTGTTTTGTTGTTAACTGGAAGTTTATTATTTTTAAATCTGCACAATTGAGAATTGAGAATTAAGGGCCCTAAGCCCAGTACACACACACACACACACACACACACACACACACACACACACACACACACACACACACACACACACACACAAACACACGTGCACACACACACACACACACACACACACACACACACACACACACACACCCTTTAAATGACTTAACGAAGGATTCCAGCAGAGAAATTAAGTAAATAAATGTATTTTGATGTTGAGCAAACACGACATCACTTAACACAGATCATGTCCAAACCTGACAGCGTGTCTGGAGATTTTATTAATTAATGAGGATACGCTTTTGTGACTCAAGCTGAAATAGTCACCTTATCTTTCTGATCCCTTTTGATGTTGTGGGACTAATTCAGTGAAGTATAACTTAATTTCTCCATCAAAATATTTCATATGTGTGTTCTGTGTTTTCAGAGGCAGACTGAAAGATAGAGTATTTAAATGATCCAGCCAGAGTTTGGTCTATCTTGGAATAAAAACTGAAATCTGCCTCATAAATAGCAACGCGCCAGCCTGCTGGCGCATCTGGCTCGTAAAAGGAATGAGATCTGACACTCTGATTGGTTTGATTCATGTTACACCCAAAACACAGCTATGTATAATATAGCCACATAATCCATCCTCTTTGCGCTCTGTGCCCGGCTCTGCGCCCTGAACGTGAACTGTGTTAATACCAGTATATATTGGGACGCGCCCCAAATGGGCCATGCGCCACATGCCACATTTAGACCACACGCTTCATGCAGTCAAAATACAGAGCCCCATGTCTTCAAAAGGGGAGAAAGTGTCAAGACTTAGTTTTTCAGTAGCTGTAGCTGACTCTCTGATTCAAATAAACTCAATACAAAATACTAACATGTCAAATAAAAACAGAAACTTCATTTTTTTTTTCTGTATTGCAAGTTAAAATGTTAAAAAGTTAAAATGCTGTTTGTGTGACACTCAAAAAAAGTACAGTTTAAACATCATCTTCAGTTTGGCTTTTTATTTCACAGAGGTCCAGGAGCCTTACGCAGTGGTGGTGCTTTTGGAGAAAGACTTAATCGTGGTGGATCTGACACAGAACAGGTATGTGGTTTAGGTAACTAAACACACCCTGGATAAACAACATCATTACAGTTTACCGTTTTACACAGGCTGATATTACATGTTATTCCATTAAGGGAGAACACTACTTGTAATGTATTACCTTTCTATAAGCCAAACACAGTCAACAACAAGATAACTTTCCCTTTGAATGTTTAGCTATAGTGGCTTTAGTCATACATAGTATATCATGATCTTCTGTTTTTCAGCTTTCCTATCTTTGAGAACCCTTACCCCATGGACATCCATGAGTCTCCAGTTACCTGCACAGCCTATTTTGCAGATTGCCCACCAGATATTATCCCCATTCTCTACTCTATAGGAGCTAAACACAAGAAAACAGGTTACAGCCATAAGGTAAGAAAAAAGGATATGAGATAATATACACTAATTTGTATCTGCCGCTTTTGATAATGTGCTGGTGATGTTTGGATAGTAATTGTGCTGTAGTCACAGTGTGAGCAGAAACACTTTTAAGTCACTACTATCCTGTGGATAAAAATGAGAAAAAAAATATTACTGCTAAAAAATTGCAGAAAATTGTGTGAATCATTCACATGTGAGTCATTTTAGACACTACAGTTCAGTAAAAAAAGAGAATATGACACCTGTGTTTTGAAGAAAAAAAGTCTTAGCAACAGGTTCAAGATAGAGAAAAACAAAAGATGATTCAACCAAGTTTTTAAATAATCACTAATCTGTCTATTCCTATATTAGGAGTGGCCAATCAGCGGCGGAACATGGACGTTAGGCTCCCACACGTACCCAGAGATCATTATCACAGGGTAAGCCATGCTGCTTTCAAGGGATTAAAAGAGATAACCTGTTCTGAATCATGCCTACTGGGTGGTGTCTGCTTTTAGGCAACACTGAGCTTGCAGCAGCAGACAGGCAATATGAGGCCAATTGTATAATGTGCTTTTTTTTTCTTCTGTGCTACAGCTTTAAAAGCTTCACTCTTTTTTTCCACAAAGTAGAACGCTAATGTCTGAACTAATTTGGAAAAAAGTATCAGACACTCAACATGCATACTCAAAGTCAGAGATTATCCATCCATCCATCCACCCATCCATCAATCCATCCATCCATTTATCTGTAGATCAGAAAAAATATGGTTGAATTGAAATAAAGCTTTTATGTTTCTTACAGTTGTCATTTTTGATTAACATCTGTTACTTCCCTCAACGTCCTGTTCCATTCATTTGGGAAGTAAGCACTCTAAATCCCTGAATCAACAAATTCCTTTCTTTCTCCATGTCCAGCCATGCTGATGGTACAATAAAGTTTTGGGATGCATCGGCAAGTAAGTATGCTTACTGCAAATAAATAAATATTTTTTTTGCATTTACAACATTGTGACCAAAACTACCAACTTATCTTAACAGTCACACTACAGATGTTGTATAAGATGAAGACCTCCAAAGTGTTTGAAAAGCCAAAGCCAGGGGAGGGCCGGGCCGCAGAGTTGGTAGAGGAGGACCCCTTTGCTGTTCAGATGGTCAGCTGGTGCCCCCAAAGTCGTATGTTCTGCGTGGTCGGCATCTCAGCCCACATCATCCTGTATCATTTCAGCAAATATGAGGCCAACACTCAGATAGAAGTGAGTAAGAAGACAATCCAAGGAGTGACATCTTGGTGATTTGATACAAGTGCAAATACCTGTTACATGTGTAATTCTTACCACCATCTACAGATATGTGCAGCGATGTCCTCTTTAGAGGAAGATAGAATGTAAATCCTTCTTCTACTGTGTCTGCATCTGCACAAGACTTTTACAGTTGAACGTTTACTTTATTAGTTGCATTGTTTCAGAAACAAAATATAGTCAATGTGACAACTTGACTGTTACAAATGATATATTTATCAATATTGAATTACCTGTGTCATCCTTAGTCACTGGAGGTCCGTCTACAATGTGAGTCTGAGGATGTCATCTCTCCATCGGAGAACGAGAACGATCCATGCTTCTCAGAGTCCGGCTCACATTCACCCCAAGCCCACCATCAGCAGTCAGTGAGCCCCGTCAGTGGGACAACCGAGGGTAACAAACACAGCATCCCCTGCCTTAAGTAAGATCCCTTTATTAAAGTATTTCTGCAACATATAACATACCACATGTGATTTCGTAAATCCCTTATAGTGTGCCAGGATTTGCTTATGAAGTCAATACTGTAATCTACAATAAACTAAATTAGTGTTGTTTGTAACTGAACAGAATAGTTGTTTTAGAAAGACAGGGGAAAAAATCGCTCTCGATCAGTTCAGTTCTTCCTGAAGAAAGTTCAATCCAACAGCATCTGAAGCTGGCGTTTAATTTAAAGCTTAAAAGTAAAAATGAAGTGCTTACAAAAATGTTTAGCATATTTTCAACTTAGTTGCAGCTTTATCTCTAATTTCCACGTAAACCAACTTTGAATATATTGTTTTTTGGGGCATGTTTCCTTTCATTTTCAAATGGGAGGCAGCATGTCAATTAATTTATTGCTAAGCATCTATTTCTACTGCATGCATAATACACAGGTCTGTCTGTTTCAGGGTGAAAGACAGGATGGTTCGGGTCCCTCCTGGTTACCAGGCAGAGCTGGTCATCCAGCTGCAGGGGATAGATGGAGAACCTCCTCAGCAGATCACCAGCCTGGACATCAACTCAGCCTATGGCCTGTAAGTCTCCAGACGCATGGCAAGTCCAACTGTCTGACAGCTTGTTTTCCTTAATATTTGTTGACTACTAATTTTTATATCTAGATTAGGAATATTGAATTTTTTTTTTTTTTATAAAGCCTGTATCAATTATATTATTATAGAATTATTGTTGGAAGTAAAACCGATAGTAAAAGTGTACACCTGAGTGACCAGAAAGACCACAGATTAAGTGTATTTGTTGTTTTACAACATGAAGTTAACTTGATAGATCTTTTTGTTAAAGCTGTAATGGAGGTTGCATGTTGGTGGTCCAAATAGTTGCAAGACCGGACAGCTTGACCGATGTGCAAACTTAACCCTCTGTAGAATCTCTCGAGACAACAACTCTAAAGTGCACACAGCATGATTTCTGTATGCATAGTCTGCATCTATCTGTGTGTCTATGTGTCGATGGTGACTTGTCTTTCGGTTTATGTTGAGTTCTTGGAGAATCTTGGCACTGTGAACTTGAACATTCGTTTTGAATAGTAAAACTAAATGATCTAACTGCACTTTGATGAAACAAATTCAAACTGAAATTATTAACATTACTTCCCAAACTTGTAAAAACCAGTAAACAATGGGAAAGTTACCCTACTGCACCATCTTCCTGTTTTAAACGTCCATGAACCCTGGTTGGCAAATGTCAGATTTTACTTTATTGTTTAATTAAATATCTATTAAAATATAATTAACACACAAAAATGATTGACAAGCAAGAGGTAGTGCATTATTATTATTTAGTGAATTTATCCTTTATAGAATGTATGCTCAGTGTAAGCATTGTTACTATGAATGCTTGCAGTTAATAAACAGGGTTAGTGAAACGTTTTCTGTATAGATTTTAGGTGACTTACAGTATTTGCCAGCCAATCAAAATAAACCAAAACCTTTTTGTTGGGTTTTTTGGTTGAATTGTTTAGTCTCATGAAATATAAATGCTCTCTGTCAGATGATGCCTGTGATGCCGCTGCTTGTAACTTCATCTTCTGCATTGGCTCCTCAGTTAGCTAGATCAATTTTCATATTCACTCTTTCAACGGGGTGTTCTCTGTTTGTCCTTCAGTGAGGTCAGTGCACTCAGGGACTGACCTTCTTATGGACAAAAGGCAGTAAAACTAGGTTTCACGAAATCACGCAAAAAAATTGAAAATAGGAATCAAGCACACCAGAAGTAGCGATCAAACATTTGTTTTTTTTCTACAACCCTTTCCTTTTTTTCCCTGAGATAAATTACTGTATTTTGTTACTCTCCTGCGGGGTGGTTAAGTGTTGCCAAGGCTGGCTATGTGTAAGAGTGATCTGTTTTCAATAGTCATGTTTATGGTATTGTAATTTTTGTTAGCATAAAGTGAAGGATAAAATGGACCTTTTGGACACATGGTAGAACTTTATAATGATATTGCATTTGCCATCTGACTGTGGCATGTAAACAGAAGAGCAATGATAGGCGGCAGCAAGGCTGAGTGACATGATTTCAAGTTATTTCATCACTGATTCATTGCTTAAGTGATCTAGTAGGCCATTAAAAGGGTTCCTTGATATGAATCTAGCTTCATTTTGTAGCTGTTGAAATGTATTTTTACAAGAGAGAGACTACATTTATTCAACTTGTTTCTCTTGATCAGTTGAGTTAGAGGCTCCGGAGCAATTATATCTCTGCATGGTATTTCTATTCTAGACAGCAGCAGTCGCAGTGTGAGAAAAGTCAGGGTTTTGGTGACAGTAATTACAGGAAAATGTCAAAGTTAATTTGGCTGTGTTTGATAGTGCTACATGTTCCACCTTTAATGTCATTGAGAGTAGCCTGGAGAAATAAATCTGCCAGTTGTGTCAACTGAAAAACACTCTTTGTCCTGTAAATGTCTGTGTGTGTGTGTGTGTGTGTGTGTGTGTGTCTGTGTGTGTTTGCATGTGCACGTGCCTCTTGTTGTTTTTCTTATGCTTGTCCAGTTTGGCGTTTGGGAACTGTAATGGCCTAGCGGTGGTGGACTACTTGCAGAAAACTGTCCTGTTGTGTATGTCGACACTGGATCTGTACGGAGCCGCCGACCCCTACCAGCGTCTCACCCGCTCCCCACGCAGGCACAGACAGTCCACCTCAGGTAGCACACACACACACACACACACACACACACACACACACACACACACACACACACACACACTCCTCTTGGATCTTGCCACATAAACACACGCAAATACACAACTATAGAAACAGCCACACAATAATCTGTCGATACTGTGACCATTACGTCCAGCCTATCATCTAATTTCTATCTCCTGTCCTCTCAATCTGTAGCGCTCCTGTTTACTTCTTCCTGTTTATTATACCTTCTCTGGCTCAGTTATTTCTTTCAAGGTTAGACAGATCAATCATGCAAATGAGATCTATTTGCAATCAATGATGTGAATTATGATGAAGTTGGTCTATTCTTCTTTAGAAATTATTCAATATCTCCACCTGCAAGCCCTTTACTAGTTCAGTTTGATCAAGTAAAGGGCTTCCCTAGGTCTCACACAAAGGACAACATGATATCTATTATCATTCTTTTGATTATTATTACTAGTTTTAGTGGTGGACAGTAGCTTAGATTACTTTTTAACTACTACTATATATATATTTAGTAACACTTTAAATTAGGTCCCAATATTCACCATTAACTGGTTGCTTATTAGCATGCTAATTATTTACATACTGGCTGCTTAGCAGTCAATATTAAGCGCTTATTAGTACCTTATTTTACAAACCATAGTCTATAGCTACTAGGTCAACGATACCCTCTTTATTACTGCTAATTAAAAGTTAGTTATAGGAAGCTATTGAACATGAATTATGATCTTAATATGCTTTGCTTATAATGGCCCTTAAAATGTAGTAAGCCAAAGCATATTAAGACAATTTATCTTCATTATACTGTAAGTACTTTTTTTACTGGTACTATGTAGGCTATAGCATTTTGCAGAAAGTTTTGTCCATCAGCAATTCACTTCCAAAACGTCGGTATTGAATTGCAAAACACGATCAGTACTTTTTTCTCTTCTCTCTTTGCCATTTATCTCTGACACAGTTACATAACAAAACCCTGTCCAACACCGTATGACTGTCACACATCTGCACTATGATATGAAGTGCATGTTCACAGGCTGTATGTCTTTCCATGTTTGCATTTTTATGCATGTTGTCACTTAAAATCTGTCCTTATCGATTTTTGGCCCTGCTTGAACATTCATTTAAGGTCGATATCCACAGAGGTCTCCTATTTCCTGACTCCCTTTCTCAGCATCTGATTTTGACTGGTGATGATGTCTGAGACTGAAAGATAAGACTATTAGAAAAGCCTTCCTTATTTCATACACTGACCTCTGGTTTTAATGCGTTTTAGTTACAGGGGTTTAAAACATGAGATATCTAGCATCCTTTAAGAAAATTCAAAGTTTAAGCTTTCTTGTGAAATAATTCCACCTGTGTAGCTAAATAAAATCCTGTAATGGTCTTTAGGACTCATGTAAAGGTGAAAATCCAGGCTTTGTCATTGTCTCTTGCCTAGGTGATTTTATTGACCGCCACAGTACTTACTTGCTGTACCAAACTTCCTCTTCTGTTAAAGTCTGTCTATTTTGGGACTTTAAAATCAATTTGGAGGTGGAAGAATAAACAAAAACATCAGACTCTGGCCTTTCTCTAAACCCCAGGTGGTGGTGTTTCGGTCTTGAACAGTTGCTGGAGTTAACAGTGTAGACAAATCTCAAAGGACACTATGAACAGGGCGAGCAAAATACATGAGACTTGTTAAACTAAATTCAATCTTTAACAGCTGACCTTGATTCCAACTTTTTAGAACCTGTAGTCTTCTGTCCTTCCTTCAACATTTTTAGCTGTTGTCACCACACATATATCTATGTGAATACTATATTTATGTCAGTCAAACGGTCACATCATAAAATGATACTAAATTATTGGAGATTAATCCTAGCCAGAACATGCCAGGACATTGCTAAATATACACAAGAAAAATGCCATGTAAATGAATAATTATTTGTAAACTTGATTTGTTATTAATGATATACTGCCGGCTAACAAACCCGTTGACTTCTGAACTTACAAATCACATCACAGCAGTAGACGGTATAACTTGATGTCCTCTTCTTAAATTAACACAGTTGCTGCTTGCTCACACTTCTTTTTTTTCACCCTAAGCCTGTGTGTTCTTCTCTCCCCCATCCTTCCCTTCTGCTCCCCCTCTCTCCCCCCTTCTTATAACATCATCACTCTGTTTCTCCTACTTAACATTCAACCCTTTACCTTTCAATTGATTTGTTTTTTTGCTCATCTTGTACTTTCTACTGTCTTCTTCTTCTGTGCCATCCCTTTGTACACACTGTATACCTTTCTACCACCTTTCTCTCTTTTTCAACATTCCTTCCTCTCTCATGTCTCGCTGCTCTAAATCTGAACATATTCGTCTTTCTCTTTTATTCCTGGTCTCCATTTCCACCACTCCGCCTTTCACTCTCCTCCTCCTCTTTCTCCTCCTCCTCCTCTTTCTCCTCTTCCTCCTCCTCTTTCTCCTCTTCCTCCTCCTCCTCTTCTTCCTCCTCCCACCTTTTCGTGACTCTGTGGCTGCTGATGTGGGCATGTGGGCCTGCCTGCCAGAGTTTTGCATGCGCGGCCTGTCTAACTTTTATTCAGATTCAAAGAAAAGGATCCGTACATCCTATCAGAGTAAGTCGGGCCCTCCTAAAGAGGTGTGTGGGTGGGGGAGGGGGAGGATGCAGTGTTTTGGTGAAAACACAGGGTTGGAGGAGATGGTTGCCATAGGGACTGGTAATGAATGATGTGGACTGAAAGCAAAGGGACACACCAAGGAGATGCTTTGAATACAATGGGTGTTTTCATGTCTGTATTTTACAACCTTACCAGAACAACCCTATTTCCAGTCATGTCCAATGGTATGTCCTTTGCAGACAGAGAGCCACTCCTTTGAGCCTGTTCGTAAGGGCAGTTATAAATATTATATGATCCATGTGATGTATATTTTAACAGAAGCAAAGTTAGTGGGGTAAATAAAGCCCTAATAATCTACTGGGCCTAGGAGAACAAATCAACATGCTTTTAATCAAAAAAAAACTAAGAGATTTTTTATTGTTTATAAAAAAAAAAAACATCCATTGTCTTTAATCATCTAAAAATGTAACGATAATAATTGAGGGGACATTTACATAAGTAATTTTGCTTGAAACATTTATTGAAAATATATTATTACATTTATAGATTTTTTTTCATGACTGTGAGGATGCAGTTGGTCTCTTAATGTTGCCTTATTAATAGGATTAGTCATGCCAGAATTTGTGGTCGTTATCAGAGAGGAAACGGTCTGGTTTCTCGTTCTGGCCTGTGCTTGGTGCATGCTAACAGTTTGTGTTTATTCTTATTTGTATGTTGATCGTTGAAAATCACGAAATTTGCACTACTAAGTGATTAGTAATCTGGCTGGAATATGAAAAAAAAAAAAAACATTTTATTTATTTATAACTGACAGTAGTGCAGGTCGCAGTAGGGATCAGCCACTCTTTCTCTTCAGAGACGAACAGATGCAGGGTTGCATTAACTGGGGAAAGTGGGAAAGTGGGAAAAGCTTAAAAGCTGGGAATTGAAAATGCAATTAAGAGACAAATCATTGGTACCCTGTACTCTAAACTCTTTGTTGGGGCTTTGCGTGGCTGATGTCACCTATGTTTACTTACTATCTGTATGACTGACAAGCTCAAAAAGATCAGACTAATTGTGTGTTCCCTTTTTTTCCCCTTCTTCTGGGCTGCATTTGGCTGCGACAGGCCTTACTGAACTCTCTGACAACCAGCAATCCTTTGACATGGAGAGAAGCAAGTCACCCACCTCAGGTAACCTCCTGACACAGACAAACACTCGCTGCTAAGCTGACCATTCCCTGTATGGAAATGTCTTTATTTATCATTATTTGCACTGTGATGCCTTGCTGTATAGCCCTTGTGTTTTGAAACAAGCTACAGAATTCAGCTTGTGAACACCAGAGCATCTTCGCCTGATGGCACTGGCAGCTGTTTGAAATGGTAATTTTCATTGTGGTCATATGGACATGTTACTTTCTGAAATATGTGCTGACAGTTGAAAGTTGATGAAGAGCCTATGTGATATAAAGTTGTCAGAGGGTTTGACTGCATTGTATTTCAGTTATTACAATGTAGTCATTACAAAGATGAACTAGAGAAAAGTCTTCTCTGTGTGTGTGTTCTATCTCTTTCTTCATCCCTCTCTGACTTCTTTGTTTTTCCAACATGGCTCATGTTCTGAGAGAAACACAGGGAAAGATAAAGAAAGCATATGGAGCGTGCCCAAACACTCTAAACCAATATGTATACAACAGTTTGAACATGATGACAGTGTGTTGAAATAACCAGCATATATATATTTTTTTAATTTAATGCTTTAAAAGGACATCTAGACAGAATAATTCCTACAGCTGGTGAAATATTTATTTATATCATTCATAATATATTATAATAAGCTCAAGCGCACAGCTGTTAGTTGAAAATGCTGGGATGTTTGTGTGTAGCGGTGCTTGACTTGTATTAGATGCTACTGAATTTGTAATGGGTAGTCATTCCTTTAAAGAAGAGTGCTGTGTGATGAAGCATTATGTGTTTAAAGGATATGTTATATTCATAATGTTGCCGCTTTGGAGTATAGGATTTAACTTTAGAGATACAGCATCATGGTAGATATGATGGTGGAAAGCTGGGTGAAAGAGATAAATATGACAGTACAGTGACTCATGATGAATACTGTGGATCACAGGATAATGTTAAAGGTCTGCGGGTAATAGGTAAAGGTCGGATATGACGGGTGTGGTAATATGATATTTTCAGCGTGTTGCGATCTGTTGTTGGAAGACAGACAGAAGAAGAGCGAATCTGTGATGGGAGAATGTGGGAGATTGTGGCCTGTGTGAAAATCACATCACTTCATCTCAGCAATTTCAGAACATAAAGGTCAAATGGTTGAAGGTGCGAGCATGTAAATCCTTTGCTGTAGACACTGTAAGAAGAAGAAGAGGTGTGGTCTAGGCTCTGTGTGCTTTATAAGCTTTATTTTTTACAACAATTAGTTTTAAACCAACTAGATTTACTGATGGTATTTCTTAAACATCAAAAAAATGGATATACCGTAAAATCCAGAATATAAGTCCCACTGATATACAGTATATGACGTGGCCTGTTCAGAGGGAAAAAAAAGGTGTAAATTGTCTTCCTGCATGGTGATTTTCACTGTGTTCAGCAATGTCCACAAATTGGAGTTTCTGCGCAGCTCTGTAGCTCTTTTAGTACCATCTGTTTACACTTTTTGGGAAGTTTTAACAGATATAAACCGCCACACACACAATAAAAATATTTGCTCGACAACCTTGCACACAAATGCATCAACAGAGAGCTACAATGGCAGCTGCAAGGGTGAAATAATACACAGGTGAGGGCAAAGTTCTGCAAAGACTTTTGACGAGTAGACCAAGGTGGGCTCTGCACCTGCAACACACCATAACAAATAAATTTAATAAAAATTAAATGGCAAAGCAAATATTTTACCCTCAGATTTCCCTCTCTGTGGTCTGGCCATGATTTTGTTTTTATACAAAAAACCTGAAACTGACTTGACGAATATTTCTATGAAATTGGGGATTTGGCCATGTTGTGAGTCCTTGTTATTGGTATATGGTAAATGGACTTAGACTTGTATAGTCTTTTTCTTATGCTTTGGTCACCTACCTGTTCACACCCATTCAAACACTGATGGCAGAGGTTGCTATGTAAATGGTCACATTCATATGCCGCCGACGAAGCAATTTGGGGTCAAGTGTTTTGCCCAAGGACACATCAACATGTGGCTTCAGGGGCTGGGATCGAACCCCCAATCAGATTGAGGGACGACCAACTCTACTACTAAACCACATATGACGCTATTATGCCAGCTGCACTTTTTACTCTTCATTTGAGACGCATTTGAATACTGGTTTAAATACCAATAACATGTTTTTTTTATGTCTCTAGTTCATGTTTGTTTGTCTCCGGGTTGAGCTGGTGTTGAGCTTTCATTCTTGTGAGCTTTGCTTTTTAACCCTTGTAAGAAAGCATATTAAGAACAGGATTTACAGAACCAGAACAAGATGTTATTTGCTGGCTTTGTCAGGGAAGTATTTCACTCTTGGTCAGTGGATGAGGTCATGGTCAGCATGTCCCATAACAAGCCTGCCATGATTTGTGAATAGCCAGATGAAAACCAAAGGAAAACCAAAGGGTACACAGCTCAACAGTGTTGTACACAAGTGTCTGATGTACTTGAACATTTACCCAGACAGGAGAGGCAGATTTTAGGACCTGTTACTAATTAGGGAGTACATTATCAGAGTTAGTGCCTGCTATCAAGATTTCAGTTCTACAGCAGCCTGTTTTGCGTAACACTGGTATACTGGGTTAGCACGTTCCTTTCAAAGGTGTTAAATACAGACACTGTCATAATCGCCGCAAGATTTGCCAGGCTTGGTAAATCGCAATGCGTGTACTAACTTCAGTTCTTTGCATTTTCTCCTCCTAGTATTTTGCACTTTAGGGCAGAAACACCCCATATTGCATATTCATTAAGGCAAACGTGCTAAATGGACAATGTGTGTTGTTTTGCTCATATCAAAGACACAATCCTCACTGAGCACCGTTAGTAGATCAGACAGCACAATTTTTGCAGGTGGTATCAAGTTTGCGTACGTTTTAAGACACGCAAACCTTTAGTAAATCAGGCCCCAGGTGTATTGTTCCTAGAGGGCCACATGCAGACTGAAGACAGCTTATTAATGAAGTCAGCCATCACCCTGATTCATCCCGGGTGTCAATAGCTGCAGGTGTCTTTCTCTCCTCTGTTTCCTGTGTTTTTCTTCAGTTCTCACTAGACCAGGTAATTGGTCCTTATCCTTCATGAAAGTAATTCCTTCCCATTGGCTTCTATTTTGAGTCAGAGTTCATTATTTTTGGTTCAGGGATACCTGCAACATTTTCTCTCTGAGCCGTATGTCACATGTGGCATTGAACAGCACCAGTCATGAGATGGGCTAACAAGCGGAGATGCCAGTGCTTGGTGCCTGACCCAGCGGGTTATTTTTAGCTAAGAGCATGCCAGGAGAGAAAGGGAGGAGATGATGGCTGAAACTTGAAACAATGGGCTGAACTAATGCTACCTACTCAGCTCACGGCTGTTTTTGTAAAGCTGTAGATCAGCCTACCGATAGTACTTCAGCCAAGCCTGCCTCCTAAAAATACCATGTATGACTCAATAAAACCTATGCATACTTAATAAACCATGAAAGCTAAATCATGAATATTGAAGTGCTGCACTGGAAGTACTGGTGCCTGGCCAGTAGTTCTTGGAATCATCGATGCAAACATTGGGTAAGAAGGAGAATTATGATGTATAATGGTGCTTAACATTTACCATCATTATGGTATTAATTATTTTATATATATTTATTGTAGTTCAATTTTAGTATTTCATCCATCCCCCATTGTCTTACACTTATCTGTGGATATCTCACAGTGGCAGCGGACTATTTGAGTTAGCCCAGATGCCCCTCACTCCAGTATAGTATTTCAGTGCTGCTTGTATTTGTAGGCTTTCACTGCCCAAAGCTCATGAAGAAGGTTCAGTTCAAGGTGAAGGACGACTTGTAAAGCGAAAGCTTTGCTTTCCTCTTCTGCTCTAGCTTCATCTCAGTCCACCTACATTACTGTTAATATGCACTTGTGTTTGTGCCAACAATACCGACACAGCTTCCACTTTGGTTATACAGGGACCCTTATGGCTTCTTATGAACAATTTTGTTTATTACCTCAAATGTTTCCCTTCCTCTTTCCTCGCCAGTTCACACACTGTGTTATGTGTCTCTCACCTGTTTCCCTGAAAAATCTGTTCTGTTGGATCTCCTGTTCCAGTTCATTACCCAACCTCCCTTCACAATGACCCACGCATCCTGCCAGAGCCTGTGGCCAGTCTGAGAGCCAGCCACTGCAGTCCAGTCTTTTACTTACTGGACAATGGTAAGAGGGGGAGGGGGGTGACTCATAAAACTCAGCCTCTTCATGGACATCTGCTTGTGGTATGTTACTGTATGGCAATAATGCAACAACATAGGTACATGGGTTGACTGTTGTCTTGGACAGGTGATTGGTTCAATGTTGCACATGCATGCTAAATCCGCTTCCGCTCTGTGAGCAACACTAACAGGAGAACACCATACCTACATTCATGCCTTTGCATAGCAACAGAAATGGAAAACTTTTGTTCGGGACTCAAATACATTTCACATCCCTTAGAAAAGCTGCTTATTGCCTGCCACTCTTTTTTTGTTAGCTTCCTTGTTTCTCAAAGTTTGATAAAAGAGTAGAAAAACCTTGGCCAAATGAAAATGTTTATTAAAGCGAACTTCTCTTATAAATGTCATTTCATTTGGCTGGCTGAATGAAAAACTAAATTAGGTGCAGGATTCATCTACTTGGCTTGATAAAAAAAACAATTTTAAACCAATAACTGGCTAACAGCTTGATGTGAAATTGTATAAATACAAGGGAAAGTTCAAAGAAAGAAAGTTCTTGATTTCCATTCCGTTTGTTAGGATTTAGCTATAACAGGACTTTAGCGCAAAGGGACTTAGGCATTCTAAATTCTGATCAAAGAAGAGATAACTGTGAGTATGTTAGAATACATGAAATGTATTTAATTTTTCATGTGGCGTTCATCAAAAGATAATATCCGCCCAGGCATCTATAATGAGTAACAAAAGAGTGAGTCATCAGCTAAGTTGCTTGCAGTGTAAACAAGCTGAGAGGGGCTGTGTTTGGAGGAGCAGTGTCTTTGTTGCTGCTTTGTCAATGTGTTCCATGCTTTTGTATGTGCGACTGCTGGTGGTGCATTATCTCTCTGCCCCAGCTTCAGGGTTGGTAGACATTTGGGTGTTTGTTGTATGTGCCAGAAGAGGGCTTTGGACATGGTCCCCTCATCATTCTGCAATGTTGCAAAGAAGGAGAGCTTTGGTTGAGAACATGACCGTAGTCTAACCGAACTTCTCCTCCTAAGTTGTCACCGCCTCTAGTGCTTCATTTGACATTCACCATTGTGTGCTTAAAAAGGTAAAATGCTACTTTACTAGAATGTGGACCATGGATTTGTGTCTTTGTTATGGCGTGTCAATAAACCTGCAGTCTCATCTTGTTTTTAGCTAGGCATAATGTTCATTACTGTCTCATCTCTAACTAACTGCATGGTACCCAATGCGTGGTCTGCTGTAGTACTTCCTGTATGTGACTTCAGCTTGCCTGGTACCAGCGATTTGGACAGATTTTTTTCCAGCAACAACCCTTATTTGTTACCTCAAAACTGTGTTCTATAATTCGATCACTCAAGGTTTTCAACCAAGAACTGGGGGGAAAATTTGAACTTTGATCTTTTTTCCTACACGAGCTGTGGGTCTTAACATCAAACAGTGGACAAGGATACTTGAAATTATTAAGAGACATTCAAGAAAGCTGCCAACTTTTATTTCATACCTACTTCTATCACCACCATGATGTTGACATTTGTGGTTCAACTTTAGATTTAATTGAATTTATTTTATTTGATAGGGACGGTGCAATTGAACATAGTTTCAATATTCAAAATTCAGCTTCAAATGTGTTTTCATGAACCCACAGGTATTGATTGTCTACCATGTTTGCCAATGCAAATGAGCAGCTTGGCTCATTTCACTTTAAAAAAAAAAGACAGCTTTTAGACAGTTCAGGAAGTAAAGTACACTTGGCTGAAGACAGTGCAAAAATTCAAATTAAAAAAAGATATCAAATGCAAATGCAAATAATGAATTTCAAACATGCGAACAAAAATATTATTAATTGCGATTTACCATTGAAATTCAGCAATTAATTGCAATCAAAAAAATTATCGTTCGACAGCCCAAAGACCAAAACTCAAAATGTTGCATAACTGACAAATGTTAGCTTATTTATTCAGTAAGCATGCAGGAAGAAGGGGCCACAGATGCAAAAGAATGATCCTCAGTGTTTGGTTCAGTATTGTTCATATTGAATATAAAAATGCCTTATGAATCTCAACCTTTTTTATATTTAATGTGTGATGAACGCTGATGAAAAGCAGAGGACCAGAGTAACATCTGTGTGTTACAGGTTTATTATGAGAATATTTTCCCTGTCATTAACACTGCTCATATTATGTGGTTGTGGCACCAGCTGTTACCACAGCTTATTATGACACACACACACACACGTGCGCGCACACACGCACACACACACACACACACACACACATGCGCGCACAGTTCATAAATTATCTCATTTGCGTTGAAAGGCCTCTACTGTTGAATGATAATAAGAATTATATTTTCTTTAATACAATTGGACTTTTAAACCCTCATTTCCTATTAGAATAAGTGAAAATGCTTTTTTCCAATGGCGCTTGATGCTTTTTTGATTTTGATAGTTGCCTAATAGTTGCAAGTAAATCTCAGTTGATATTAAACAATCCAGGAAGTCCTGCGTCTTTTTCAGTCTTTGTCATGTCAGGATTTGTACATGAAAGGTCAGTTATTTCCACATTAAACAAAACATTTCATGGTCACACTATTTTCCTTTAGTGGTCAAATCAAATCTCATGTAAACACCATCATGTGTCTTCATACAATACAAAGAAACAATGAAATATTGCCTTCTTTTTAAGGGGAAACCAGAGTCATAACATCTCAAGTTTGACCTTTGCAGTTCTATACTTACTGCAAAAATGCTTGCAAAATGTTTTAATATGTTATTTTACTTTATTTATATTCAGTGTCCCACTGTGGAGTATTTATATATTGGCACCCTGTGGTGTCACCTTGTTTATCTGTGCTTCCATGTCAGCCCAGGCTGAGTAATATCCGATCTTATTGTGACATTTTAGCAGAGCAAATTTAGTCAAAACAGATTTCTTTCAGCAAGACACCTATCAAAATGTAGAAATATGTGCTGCTGAGAACTTGTTGCAGCTCAATGACAATAACCTTTCGTGGAGAGATATTGTATGCTCTCTACTTAGGAAGGCTTATTTATTGAATTGTGTGAATGTTTTTTCACACTGGTTCAGTATAGACCGGTTCAGTATCAAAATAATTGAATCTTGTAAAATGTTCTGGCCTGGGAAAACAATGGAGCATGCATTTAAAAGTATGCCTGCCATGTGCAATTGCACCAATCTGCATGTTGCTGTTCTATGTTAATTTAAGTAGCCTAATTTCCCGTTTTGTTCAAGTCATATATTTGCACCTTGGTTTACCTGTGACCAAGATCACATCTACTAATTTCTCTATGATTTACCTTTCATTTATTTATTTATTTATTTTCTTTTGAAGGGATTAACTGGTGCTTTGTTTCCTATTCTTTTGTTTCAGTAAAGGGACCTGGCAGAAAGTTAAGTCTGCCGACAGATCTTAAGACTGATCTTGGTACGGTAGGCGAAAGCCAGCAGTTTTCACTGATTTCCTTTGAGTCATTTAGTTCCTGCTTTTAAAATGTTTTCCAGGATTTATGTTGCTTTTAGAAGTTTTACTCTCACTCAGACCTTCTTCTTTCAGTTTTCTCGTCACTCTCTCCTCCTGTTCTGCAAGCCCATGAGACTGTTGGTGTAAAGTTTTTGTCCATTTTTCCCCTTACTGTATTTTTATTTGATTTAAATCTTCCGTATTCGTTTCTCTTACATTTTGCAAGTGTTTAAAGGTGATTTCAAACTCATTCCCATATTTAAATTTGAGACTTTCTATTGCTTTTTCCTGATTGGACCATCTTTTTTACTCAACCTTTCCTCCATTGACAGCTTTTCTCTGCACTGATTAGATCACTTGCTCCGTCTCCAGTCTTTCTCCATTCTTTCCATCGACTGGATCTGCGTTACTTACACTAAGCCTTTCCCCATTCTCCACCAACTTACTGTCAAACACATCACAATCTCAGGTTTCCCTCAGCTCTGCTTACATTGCCACATATGCTTTCTCTTCAATACAAAATGTGCTAGTGACCACTGTTTTTGTGACTGTCTTTTTCATTTCACAGGTTTGAAGAAATGCTTTTTTTTCTGTCAACTCTGCATATTTTATTTAAGGAAATGTGAAGAAATTTATTGAAAGAAAAGACCTATGATAATAATAATGTTGATGCGTCATCACATTTGGTACAATAACGAAAAATGAAGGTCCTCCATTTTCACGGGGTTCAGACATGCCAATGAAGAGTCAATATGATAAAGGCGGTGGGGTAGAAGAGTATGAATTAATGTTTTACCTTAATACCTGATATATAAACTTCTTGTGATGACAACAAAATATTTCTCCACAAACACACAAGATAAAAAAGTATTTATCTGCCATCGGCGCGTGTGCAAGGGTTTGTGCGTTTGTGTATATTTGTTATGTGAACGTGTACACCCTCAATGGATGAAGGAGGTGACGTGTTCAAAGTATATTAAAGTGCCAGTCTTTCTGCTTTTTACCAGTTCCTTTCTGAATATTCAACCTAATCTAAATTTGCTGCCTCACAGAAAGATACACTTGGTGTTGTTTAGGCTCTGGGTTTGGTTAAATGACTATCACCCAAAACTGGTCTGCCCTATTGAACTTTTACATGTTTTGCACATGGCCAAGGTGGAGCCCCCGAAGTTAATCATATTCACTTCCATTCATTTGTGCATCAACTACGGACGACTTGACTTCATATGACTTAAGAAATGCAAAATATAAAGAGGAAAGGGACAAGGAAAAACAAGGTAATGCTGTCTGGGGTTACTTAACAGCACATTTTTTAATAAACTCATAAGTTTCTACTTTGGATCATATTTTTAAAAAACAACAATAGAGAAAGCTTAGGTGAGACCCTACATAATCTTTTATTGCCATAGAGAAAACTGTTTCTTTTTTTAACTAATTCCATAAGAAAATGGAGAGTTGGAAGCTGCTAATTGTGAATACACATTTGGTGGTACCTTAATTAAACAAGTTCATAAGTTCCCTTGAAATGGTTAGCAGAGTGCTTGATATATTTCTTTCAGTGTCTCCTTTAAAAGCAAGGGAAAGATACTGCATGGTGTTTACAGCAATTAATAGAACTGAATCAAAAAAGCATTCAAACAACGTGTGTCCTGTTTGTCAGGGGAATAAGGACGTAGCATTTGTTTTAAAGCAAGAAGTCCTGAAGTGCCGATTGAGTAACCAACCATTGCACTTTTTGGAAGTTACAAACTATTACATTTCATAAGAAACACCTACAAAACAACTTTGTGGCCAATGTTGGTCATGTAACTAACTCTTCTAACTATTGTGTACGGTTCAAGCAGCTCAAGTCATGAATTGAATCCAATTGAATTCTTTAACTTTAAATAATGTAAAGTTTTCAAAAACCTCATCCCCGATGGGGGATTTAGTTCTGGAAAGTTGAAGTTGTATCTGTCTCAACAGTCTGTAGCTCACTTACTCTCTTGGATTATGTTGTGGTGAAAGAAAAGAAGTTCTCAGATTTGTCAAATTGTTTTTGTCTACCTTTGATCGCCACCTGTAATCATTTACCGTTATGTCATGTGGCCTGTGGTTGAAAAAACAAGTTTTGCGATAGGCAAGCATTTCTAACCAAAAGGGGCAAAATATTAAGGTGAGATGAATCCAGAATACTTTTCACATATCATTCTTGGTACTGACTTGATTAAAGGTGCACTTAAAGTCACTTTGCATTTCTGCCTCTGTTTTCTGTTCTCCCAGCATCTCGATCTCCTCCCTGCTGGTTCTTACTCTGATCACTCTTCAAACCTTTTTTCACTCACTCTTGCTTTCCCTTCTTCCTTGCTACCATCTCTCTTGTTGACAATCTAATTTCTAACACCAGCTTGATCCTATAACACTACATATACATCCATCTTCACAGGTCATATAGTATATAAAATGTACTATACTAGAAAAAACACAACATTTGAGTTAAATCTGCATAAAGCCTGCATTTTTAAAGGTTAACAAAATCACAAATAGTTTGTGTAAAATTCCAAAAAAAGGAAGATGTGACTTTGGAAGATGGATAATTATATGTTTGAAAGATTTTTTCCCTCTTTCTATTGTTTGCTAATGCTTTGCCATTGTTACAGATCATGTCAATGGACATTGCACTAGCCCCACATCCCAGCCCTGCTCGGCGGGGAAGCCTCGAGCCCAGATGGGTGCCGAGGGGCCACGGCTTACACGCAGAGGCCCCGGTCGACCACCCTTCCGCAAGGCCCAGTCCGCTGCTTGCATGGAGATCTCTTTGCCTGTGTCCCACACTGAAGGTGTGTGCTTGTACCCCCAACCCCCATTCCTTAACCTCTTACATAATGACATACCCTACCTCCCAACATGTGCATGTCATCTCCTCATTCTCTGGGGTAAGTGAACTAATTAAGGCCTTCTGGTTAACAGAAAGCGAGCGCATGTTCCGCAAGTTAACAGCAAATCACCTGCTTGCATGCTTCAGTTACCAGGACTGGGCAACAGAGAATGGTTTGCAGATACGCTCTTCAAAAACATCTTAAAACTAGCTGTTCCATATACCCCTTCTCCAAACGCTCATTGCAAAGTCAGAAGTTAGCAGCTAGAAGTGGACACTGCCGGTCCATCAAGCTTTGGATTTCATTTTAAAGCAGATTGCATGGTGCTCATTAAAAAAATGTAAATCAAATGATTGGTTGTTTGCAGCCAATTGGATCTGCCAGCAGCTATCGTCATTTTAGTCAAATGCATTGCTAAAGAAATTAGACTATTACTGCAAGCGGTTCACAACAACAGCAGGTTAGTTAGTTCTTTAGCTTTGTTAGCTTAAGCCAGGCCTACTTTGAACACATAACAGGGCAGTCACTGGAAGAATGGAATATATGAAACCTTAAATGCAGCAGTAATGTGTTTTCTATGAATGTGACAGTATGTTTCCCCGACCAGGTAAAGTTCTCTGTCTTTCCTCTGTAAAATGTATTTGGCATGCTCAGTAATAGATTTAGAATGGATTGGGTATTTTATAAATAGGTAACAGAAAGCACGAGGAGCCGCTAGTCCATGTAGTCACACTGGGAGAAGGTATGAATAAGTAATACAAGAAAACCATTCAAGTGTGATGTGGCTCTGGCTCTTGACATCCACAATCTGACATTTATTTTCTTCCATTTGAACTCCTTCAAATCACACCATGCCATCTGAAATTGTATTTACTCACCAGACTGTGTTCTTGTGTGTGTCTGTTGTGCGTACATGCTCCTTTGTGTCTGATAGAAATGTGTGTGTCTGTGGGGAGCGTGAATATGTCCCTGTCTATGTGTTGGTCAACAGGTGCTTTAGCTTGTGTACGTCTGCGTTAAAAAAAATTGGTTCACAGTTTGAAGATTTGATTTCCATTCCGAAAATACGCGATTCCTACATCACAAGTGACAGCCAAACAAACAAAAAAATAAAGATTCTGTTGTCAGATGAGGACTTAAATTATACTCCCAACATGGCAATTTAAGATATTGACTTCAGAACTGTCACAAACAAATAGCTTCTGTCAGAACATTTAACATTAAACTGCACGCTGCTAATTAAATCTTGCATTTAGTCTGTCACTGCCAGGCAGCAGACATCAACACACCAATGAGAGGAAAACATCTCTCTGACAAAAAGGAGACATACCACTCTGATTTATTTAACATGACTCCTGATGTCATATTCGACGTGTTATTTCTGTCCCCCTGCACTTCCAACCAGAAATTCTCTATCTCTCTGCCCAAAGTCTCCAGCTTAACTTTGCTGTATTTTGACTTAAATTCGCACGGCTGGGTGATGTTCTGAGGGAGGTGGGAATAACAGTAAGGATGCCAGGCACTGGCCTTAAAGGCAAAAGTAGCTAATTTATAAAAAGGGACAGAAATGATGATTGGCCCTGGAGGCTGAGAAGCTGGTAAGCACTGCAGTGCTGTGATTCAAAATGTGCTGTGTGAAATACTTTGCTACCTCAGGCTGGTCTCTTACTTTTCCCATATTCCGTCAAAGTCTTCATGATTATCAAATTATAGACTTCACTATCAACCTATGCTGAATCAGAAACCAGTTTACTACCAGCACTGCAACGCCTTCATAAAGTGTGATGCATCATACAAATATGAGTATTTGTGCCCGAGGAGATCAGAAATTACTGGTTGTGTAGGTTCTACTTCTCCTTGAAAAAAATACCTGTTACTATGTTGGATTTCATGAACTACCATGGAGTGCTTTCGTGTGGGTCACACGTCTCCTTCCAGGCATTGTCTGGCCCTCTTCCCTCCTTCCCGCAGGAATGCTGCATTGAAAATGCACTCCACTGTTCCTCACTGAATCAATACAGAACATTCATTTTCCTTTATTTTCTTTGGCACAGCCCAATCATAAATTGTGCATAAAAGACTCTCTTCAAGCATGAAATTATGTAGTTAAACCATCAAAACGTGTGTAAAAAGAATCTATGTTCAACCAGGTGTAAACAGGCCTTTGTCAAAACAGGACAGGCTACTGTCTCTGTGGGAGAATCAACTCTGGATTTGTTCTCAAAATGTCACAGTAACTGCATCACCCATGCACACACATCACACAACAGTAGCACACAGTTGTTCAGGTCACTGCTGTTGAAAGTAAGACCATGTTCTTATATGATATTCTCTTCGCATCTTTGTGATGCTAGTAAAGGTTTTGGGTTATAAACGTTTTTATTTAGTTCACAGCCATTTTTTAACTTCGTGCCTGCTTATAGATTTTTTTAAACAAGAATGCAGATGTGAAATATTGATGGCAAATAATAAACAAGTAAGGTGCAGCTGTTGTGTTGCAGTTGACCTTTTTACACCAGTTCTGCAATTAGATTCATGCTGCCATCTCTATTACCCTCATTATACCACAGTGACCTGGAGCGAGAGGAAGGCAGGCTTTCATTAGCATAGACTTAATGTTTTATTAAAGCAGCTGCCTGGGCCACAGCAATACTCTCAATCTAACTCTTTTACGTGGTTGATTTCATGCATTTATAGCCTCTGAAAGTATCAATAAGAAACCGATTGATAGAAATCTCCAGCTTCTGTATGTTATTAATTTTTTAATATTTAGTTGGCGTGAACAATAAGTAAAGAGGTATACGATCTGACACCATAAGTGGCCTTGTACCAGACTATAATAACAAGGACAAGTCCAAATGTAACTGAATCCAGATTATTTTTTTAACAGACGACCATTTAAAAAAGAGAATTCAAGAAAAAAAAAAATTTTCAAGGCAGACTATGTGAGAATGTAACAAGAGTTGAGAGAAAGACACCTGTATGAGAGAGTCTGTCTGACACTTCAGACGCATGTCATTCTCTGTTGAAAGGATTCATCATCTCATGTCTGCCTGTCTTAGTGGGAGACTGTTCTTTTCTGCCTTCATGTCTTGAGTAACCACATGATGGTGCAGTGGAAGGCGCTGTCGCCTCACAGCGAGGAGGTTCCTGGTTTAAATCCCGGTCTGACAGGAGTCTTTCTGTGTGGAGTCTGCATGTTCTCCCCGTGCATGCTGGATTCTCTCCAGGTACCCCAGCTTCTCCCCCCCGCAGTCCAAAGCTCATGCTCGTTAGGTTAATTGCTGACTCTACATTGCCTGTCTCAGCCCTATGTCAGCTCTGTGATTGACTGGCGACAAGTCCAGGCTGTACCCTGCTTTTTGCCTAACGACAGCCACGACCCGATATGGAAAATCAGTGTGGATAATGGATGGATGGATGTTATCACTTAACAATGCTAACATTGGTAGTTTCCAGATAGACACTGTGACATCTGGGCCCTTTCTGTTTCTGTACAGAAAAAAAAAACAGTTCGACCATTTAAATCCTGAACATGTCTTTCACAGACATACTGTGATTCAATCCTAGAACGATACCGTCTTAAAACTCATTTTTGAAGTCGATGTATTTTCAAATCTGGAAACACCACCATCTGACCAAAATGTCAATTTGGCGCACATGCTATTAACACTGAGGCGACTCTCTTTTAAGTTCTCTGAGCTCACCAACAACAGTCTTTATTTCTTCAGCGAACCTTTGCCTGTTCTCTATCTGTCGCCTACCTTTTTGTTTATCAGGCGCACTGGGTTACCACAGTGAAGAACCAGCAGGATCACTGGAATAATTAAAGGTCAACAAGCAGTGCGAGAGATGGGGCAGATGCTAATGAGGTCTGCATGCCAGGAAAAGAGTCAGGGGAGGCCAGACTCAATGCCCAGTAAACATTACCATAACTCTCAAGAGGATAGACAGCACATCAATAAATATTAAAGATATGAGGCGGGAGACTGTTCAGTGTGCCTGCGCGTTTGATCAAAATATGGTGAGGTTTTTAGACATGGCAAAATCCATAAAATAGTTTGGGATTCTAGATAGATAGATACTTTATTGATCCCGAGGGAAATTCCAATTCAAAAAATTCCAATTCTTCGTGTCAATTTGTTTATTCATTTAGACTGAGAGATGGTTGATGCTGGACCATTTTAATGTATAATAATTTTTTTACAGAATTAAATAGAATTGCAAATTCCAAAATGAAAGGACTGTGTATTGTATTCAATATTGAAAGTATTACTTGAACACGGCCAGAGCTAGAGCATCAACTGATTGTATTCAAAATCAAAGATTCATTGATTCAAAATCAAGCACCCCAACGCACCCTAGAAAAGCAACATGATGAATCTATTTATATTTATTCATGGTCCTTAAACATTTTAACATAGTTATTTGTGGTAAACACTGTAGATGAAGAGTTTAGTGTCGTCTGCCAGGTGTCTGTCCATCTGTCTTTCTCGGCTCTGTGTAGGTCTACATGCACGCACAACTCTGTGCGTCTCCTTGCTTTCGATGGCCTGGGGTCCCTTGTTCCTTCCCTCACACTGCTTCGCCTGCCCCTAGCTCTCTCTCAGGGCTCTCCGGGGGTCACTGTGTCCTGCCAGAGTACCACTGTGCCTGACTTTCATTAGCCAGAACCCCACAGTCTCTCTTACACAGCACAAACACACCCTAGTGTCACAAGGCAAAGTGATCGGCTGGTACCCAGACTCAAAGCGACAGACTACTTTGTCAATGTGGCTGGAATCCTAAAGCAATGTTTATGTCAATATGTTTTATGTCAGTATATGTTTTTACATCTGCAGCTTTACAAAAGCACTAACAAAATGTTGACAATTGTCTTGTTGTTGTTTTGTAATTGTGCTATACACTTTCCACACTGGAGTGCATAAAGAGCTGTTGTGTCTGGTCATTAATAACAAAAGAAGAGTATAAACCTGCCACTACCAACAGAGTTTAGTTGCATTTTTGGTTTTAAAAAGTAGTTCAGAGAGTGATTAGAGCTTGTGTTGTCACCAGAAACATAGACGAGCTGCCTTCTTTCAGTCTCCCTCTCCTTTTTTTTCTGCCTCTGCTTGTATTTGAAAACAATCTCTCCACACTCAGGTGCATATTTCTCTCTCTCTCTCTCTCTCTCTCTCTCCCCCTCCGTCACTCTGTGCGTCTCGTCTGTGTTTTGGGCCGGGTGGCTGCACTCGTGTGTGTCTCTTTGGGCATTGGTGTGGTGTCTTATATGGGGTTCGTGTTGTGGGGCTCGAGTAGGTTATGCATCGAGGAGGGCAATGCTTCAGCAGTTACATGGAGTCACTATGTACTCCCATGACGAGCACCACACCGGCGCCCCCTACTGCTGGAGTGAGAAAGGTAAGAGGGCTTCGGCCACGGACAAATCACCTGCTGTCCTGCTGATTATGCGTTCTTCTGTACACCTGTCAGTCAGTATGTCATTCCGTCCTGTGGCCCTATTTCAGCAAGAACATGCTCAGAAGTTCTTTCACTTGTCCTGAGGAATGGAATGGGGCGATGTACTGTGTAAGCACATGTTTTAATGGCAGCACTGTATCATCTGAGAATGCCTTAAATGAGGGCATTATTTAGGACTATACACATATTTGTTTGATACATGCCTTGTCAATTGCACACATTCAACATCAGTCAGTTAATTTCACTCTGAAATGAGTACACTGAGCCGTCTACCCATCAGAGTGCACTGCACTCTTTTTTTAACATTAGACTTGGAATGCAGTACTGCACATTGCCAGGCTCTAAATAATTCAAAAAGGCAGCAATACAGAAATACTTTTATGATGGGGGTTTTGAGTACACAAAGGGGGACTTGAATGAGTAGCACTCAGCAGAGTTAAAGGAGTTTTATGATTTAGTGCAACTGCAAGTGTGTGCATGTGTGTTTTTTTTTGTCTGCCTTAATGTGTGTGCCCTCATGAGTGTGTGTGTGTGTGTGTATGTGTGTGTGTGTGTGTGTGTGTGTGTGTGTGTGTGTGTGTGTGTGTGTGTGTGTGAAGGGTTTGAAAATATGTTAGTCCAGTTTTTTCTTTTGTTATAATGGATAATTTTGCATTTCAGTGTTTAACATCTTCAGTGGAATTATCCTTTTTGGTCCATGCAAATTGTAGACCAACCATATCTGTACATGAGATCGTTTATTTTCTGCTCTCTTTGTCACTCAACGTCTCTTTTTTGATGACTTGTTCTCCCATACACCAAAGTCCTCCTTGTCTGTCACATTGATGTTCCCTTCCTCAACTGTACCTTCTCTCTCCTGCTCTCCCTCTGACTTCACCTTCACTTTGGAATGCCTCATGTCTCACCTCTTTCAACATTTCTGCCTGTTCCGTGCTTCTGTGTTTGGCGGTGGCAGCAGCAGAGAGCCGCGAAAACTCCTTCAGCCGTTCGCGCAGTTCCAGCGTGTCCAGCATCGACAGGGACACCAAAGAAGCTGTCACCACACTGCAGTTCGGGGAATCCTACGGCCGTAAGAGTGACGCCCTTACCACCCCGTGTCTGTGGGTGGGCACCAGTCTCGGCATTGCCCTGGTCATCCCAATGTCTATTCCCACCGACCAGGAGGAGAGGATGGAGGAGCCTGTGACCTTTGGCCCCAGCGGTAAGCCCCTATGAGACATAGGTTACAGATACTATACTATCCCTGTAGTCTTATATAGTGAGAGCAGCATCATGGAACAGCAATGTAACATTAGTAACATTATATACAAAACAATAAAGTAATTAAAACAATAATCCAGTACTAGTATAGCATAGCAGACCAATATTCTAATAAGCATCATACCCACAATGATTGATATAATGGCAAAAAGGCAATAAGAAGTAATAGTGATTGTCGAGGAAGTGAAACAAAAACTATTTGGATATTAAAATATCAACATTTGTCCCAACTCAGAATGGTGAATGACGTGCACTTATATAACACCTTTCTGGTCATCTGAAGGCTTAACACTAATGCCACATTCAACCATTCATCAACACAGTCAGTCATACACTGATGTCAGAGCCTGCAAGCAAGCTGCCATTCAAGGTGACAACCTGCACATCAAGATCTAATCTAATCTAACCCGCCATCTTCCTTAGCCACAACTGCGCCAGTTGAAATTAGTGTAAAATAGCTGTATAATGTTGATGTTATGATTATGACTTTTTTTTTGTGTTTAATCCAAATGTCACTACATATGATAAAAAAAAGACAAAATATTAACCAATCAAAGGCTACAGAGGCTTGAACAAATGTTTTAGTGTGACCGAAATCATTCTGATCACAGACCTTATGTTCACTTTTTACATGTTATGTGTGTTAATGTTATGCCCATTCATATTGAATTGGAAAAACATGAAACATGCACAAGAGTAGTGAATACATCATGCATTCATTTTACTCGCAGTGACCTTTAAGCACTTTTTTTATTATTATTTTAATTTCAGTACTGTCATCTAACCTTTTGAAGTTGATATGGCTAAGAAAATCACACTAATTAACCTATTTGTAGTCATGTGCTTGACTACTGGAGAAATGCAGACACAATATTCAAAGGTGTGTCTCCTGTCTCCCTGAGGTACTGTAGAGTGGATTTATCTTTCCAGTGGATGCTGAAAACAGCTGCCTTCTTGTGTGTAACATTTATCCTTTTGTAATTATTTAACGTTCTGTTTTACTTTGATATGGTCTATCCATTTCACAATAATGATTTAGAGTGCAGTCACTTTGAAAAGTCACAAGTTGGGTACATAAAGAATAGTTTTCCTCTTGTATGCTTGACACCAAACACTCTCTCAGACAATTGATGAATGCAACGTTAATGCACGGCAAGCATCCTTATATAAGCTCTATTTCTTACTTATATTTAAGGGCTCTTCTTTGCCTGAAAAGGAAGGAAATACAATTTTAGTGCTTGCCCACCTACGGAAACATAGACACTCAAACATGCATAAGCAATTAAGAAACGCAGCTGTGTGCGAAAAAAGGTCTCTTATTCAGAGCAAAATCAAATACACCCAGAAATCTTGAAACTGGATGTAAAAGAAGCGTGCTTTCTGGAATGTCAGAAATCAGTTCGAAGGATGATTTGGTGCTCCTAAGAATTTCCCTTTGATATCAGATTATGTCTTCTGCAGTTAAAGTATTAAACAAAACTGTTAGCAAACTCAAGCTTTACTGTGATTTATTGATAACTTAATAACTTGGATAACATACATACTGGACTCCTTAATGTGACTATATGAACCTTTGTGATATTTTGACATCATTGAACAAGCATACAGATTTCTCAGTTTTACTTACCTGTGTTACATTCTCACTATCACAGAATCAGAATAAAAAATAAACCATCATAAATCACTTTGCAGACCTGTTGAAAAGCTTAGAGGTTCCACTTGCATGGTGAAAATGCTTTGTTAAAAGATTCATTTTTTCATTCCTTTACTTTTCCCACTGCTAACCTACCCAAAAAAATCCTAGGAGCAGTCCTGATGCTGAAGGGCTCAGTGTTACACTTGAGCTTCTTAGACTGCTCGGGCACCCTCATTCAGAGCCCCTATGAGGTTTGGCGGGACATCAATGCAGCTGAGGACCCTGACCGACCGCGCAAACGCAAGCTGGTCCACTTTTCCCCTTCATCCTCCCAGGAAACCTACGCAGACGGACACCTGGCAGTGGTTTGCTCTGAGAAGCAGGCCAAAGTATTCTTGATGCCCTCGCAGTCTTGCCTCTTTGTCCACAACATCACGGAGTCATCCTTTGTACTGCGAGCAGATGTCGTATCTGTGTGTAACAGCGTGTGCCTGGCCTGCTTCTGTGCTAACGGTCATGTCATGACCCTCAGGTAAAACTTCAAGCACTCATCTGTTTTCCAAGGTTCCTTTATTTGTCTCTCTTTGTGTCGAAGTCCTTCACCCTGATGGTTTCAGGTGTAAAAATTATAACTTATATATTGCTTTTCTAGTCTTCTGACAGCACTTTCATACTACATTTCACATTTCCCCAGTCACACCACATTTACATATTGATTACAGGGTATGCTATGTAAAGTGCCCATCAGTAATGACTAACTCCATTCATGCACATTCACACATCACTGGCTATGCCACCAGGAGCAATTTGGGGGTTCAGTGTATTGTTTCCGTTGAGAGACAGCTGACTGTACTGAGCCACAGCCACCTTGATTAATCATGCAATGGGGCTGCACAATTAATCATACAATCATTTCGATCCCATCCTTGGCCTTGAAAATTAATTAGACCCACTTCAGTTGACTGTTTGAATAGTGCTGTTTAATAATTGG